ATGTCAACCAAATCGGTTTGTGTATGTTCAGAAAATAAACCCCAAACTTATCCAAACATAATAATGATTCACACTCTTCCTCCCTCGCGACTTCTCTTTCTGTATCTTTCTTCCTTTCGCTTATTTACCCGACGAAAAATAGCACGTGTAAGTTAACGACAGTTTTGGTGTAAAAATCTATTTTGATGTATATCATCGTTGGCCAAAGTTGGTGTGAAATGTGTAAAACACATAGTTCGACACATCTTTGACATTATTGATTGGCGTTCAACGTAATCTCAACGTATCTATTTTCGAATTGGCACCATTGTTTTATGCATTTATCAGTCTCTGTAAAGCTGTAAAATATGAATGGGTAAGAATGAATCGATAACTTTTACTCTCTCTCTCTCTCTTTCTCTCTCTCTCTTTCTTTCTTTCTTTCAATCTCTCTCGCCCAAATGAGTTTTTATAAACAAGAATAGGATGTGAGATATGAATTCTCACCCATTTACGCGTGAAAGGACTTTTGAAAGGGCATGTTTCGTTGCAGCGATGAGCACTAAGCTCAGAAAAAAAAAACATACCATGAAATAAGCGATATTGCGTGTTCAAACTTGGAAAACCACGCAAATATTTCAAAAACATTTATACAAAGTCGTTTGTGATGCGATAGTATTGTTTTTGGTGCTTGATGTTTTTCTGGGAACCAATGTTCACATGTAGTAGCGCGCACACACAAACACAATTGAACACATCTTTTGCGCAAATTACAATTTTGTCTGAAAACCTTGCATGGGCAAATGACTTTGGCACGCAAACGTACAGAATGGAATACATAGAGAACAATACATTTCATAAAAACAAAAGCTCTGAAGATTGTTGGTGCAACAACACATGCACAAAAATGAATGGAAGTAGAAAGAAAGAATCGAATTCATGGCAAAAGCAGCAAATTCATGCGGAAAAATTTAATTCCGGAACGAAGAAGCTCAGCGAACAAAAAAAAACCACCCCGACGCATCTTTTGTTATTGTTCAAGGTATTCGACCCAATGCGCTGTCATGCAAGCACTGCACTGTCAAACACAACATTTAAGCGTCTTGAATTCCGAAACGTAAACAATCTCATCAAGTAATAAAAAAGCGCTCTCTCTCTCTCTCTCTCTCTCTCTCTCTCTCTCTCTCGTTGAAGATCCCTTTCTTTTGCAACATTTATGAAGATAATAGGTGAATACTATACAAACCATACGGGAATTTTTTTCTTCTCTCGGCTTTAATTCATTTCAATAGCATTATGTGCATTTTTTGTGTGGAATCAAAGAATGAGACAGATTTGTTTTTCGCACACTCTTGAGACTTCTTTTCATTTGGTACAATTGCATGCTTGTTGCAATTCACTTTGTTCCCGGAATTTTAACTCATTTTTACTTGCAACGAAACGAAAAAAAAAAATATTATTTTAAAACTAGTCAGTAAACTTAATACGATATGCACAAAATGTTTGTTGGATGCAGAATTTTACGGTGAAATAATGAATGGATGGAAAATGCAACATGATGCTGAACATGTTTTACTTTCAATAGACAGTGAAACCTCAGAATTTGAGGAAATAGCATCAACATTGGAGTTACAAACGCATTCGACTCGATCTAATATGAAAAAATTGACTGTATTTCTGATGAAAACAAGAAAACACTGCGATGATACGATGCAAAATTTTATATCTTTCAAAATTAAAGGTGTGGAAATTGACAGTTATGTAGGACTCTGTGGAGTTATTTTTCAAGAATAATATCCAATTTCTGGTAAATATAAATTCAAATGGGAACCTCTTGATTATGGATATTCATGGATCTATCGGAAATGCCATGCAATTCGAATGCAACACATAAAACTCATGCAAACTCCCAATCGTCTTAAACTTGAAATCTCCATGGAAATTATAATAAATTTCATGCGATTGCAATATAGATTGGTTTTACTGTTTTCATGCATGCGGTCGTAGCGTATCGCTCAAGGATGAATGCTCAACTTTTGCAATATTCTGCATGGAGGAGTTTTCGTTTTTTCGCTATGAGTTTTACAGCTCCTATAGATTCATTCTATTTTATTGCGTACATTTTGTTTTTTACTTTATTTGAAATTTTATGCCATTCATAAAATGCACATCAACATTTGCTTTTTTCTTTAACTTTTTTTAAATTACATTTTCAGCTTTAATTAATTTCATGTTGTTAACCATTCAATGCATTTTCGTACGCACTAAATACACCATACACCTTTCCGTTTGGGCGCATATTAAAATTTTACATTTTAAACACAACAAGTTTAAATAAATGTAGAAATTTTAAATACTGAATAAAATGCAGGGACTATTACAACGGCAAATGATGAGAGAGAGAGCATCTCAACTTGAAAGAGTTTTCAGTCCGAAAATGCAAAAGCCACCCACCTCCGCTGCCACCACCCAGAAGCCGCGGAGTGGAGTAAAAGGTGAAATGGGCTCAAAACGTGAAAAATGCATAGAGAGGGGGATAGAGGGGCGGAATCATGAAAATTGTAATTGAATTTTGTGCACATTGAAATATATTTTATAACAGGGCTGTGTATTCCTTTATCTATGCCTTTATCAATTTAATACTCGCACACACACACACGAACACAGGAGAATGAACGACTAAAACTTTATGAATCTGACGCCTGTTGTTGTTGTCGTTGATGATTTGTGCTGTGCACTCGCCGCCATAGCGCCAACGTCTAATGTAATTATGCACGAAATTTACATTTGCCGATGTGCAGCCAGAGTGTGTGTATGTATGTATGTTTTGTTTAATATTGATTTTCAATATTATGTGGACATTGCGATGGGAGGATGTGTCTGTATATAAGTAAAATGCATGTAGAACACAAGTGCCGCTAGCAGCATTGATAATATATGATGCATATATAAAGTTGCGTGAAATTTAATTAAAAAAAACATCAAACCGTCAGAATGTGATGCCGCTTTATTGACAGCTCTTTCTAACCACGTTGCACAGAGCAACGTACGAATAAGAAAGTAAACGAAACAAGAGATTTAAATTGAATTTTGGTGGCGCGGTTCGTTACCAGCATTCATTCAAGTAGACAAAAATGCTGAAACATGTTTTTTTACTATATTGCGGATAATCTCTGCGAAGTGAAAATATAAACATAACATTATGTTATTGCTGGTGGATTCCGTTTACGGTGATGTTGTTGTTAGATCTAAACACCGTACCGGCTTTTATACAAATCATGAAAAAAATAACGATTCATTGAACACACACACACACACGGTTCACAATAGTGAGTAAAAAATCACGAATCCATCATTTTTTCGCACATCCGAACAAATATTGAATAATAATACAGCAAAGAACAAAGCAGAATAATAAAAAAAAAACAAAACCGCCAACAACAATCGAACCGACTATGTGTGTATAAATTTCACCGGTAATGCTGTGCGATGATTTTGTCATTTTTCCGTGAATATTTTTTTTCTTCACTTTACCGGTGTCATTTGTACGGTTTCAAAAATTGACCCAACGCAGATAGTGTTGGCTGTCGGTTGTCGTCATTCAAGCATGATTTGATGGTTTTTTGCTGTTAGTTGAGCATGAATACGCATATATGGCAACTAAACAAGTAACACAAATATACACAGTTGCTGTTCCCAACGTTTGAACAAGTGAAAAAAAACCACGAACGACAATCGAGAATGGTGTATGACAACCGATAATGGAGTAGTAGTAGACGACTACAAAATCGACGGCAAATGAAATTAGACGTCGAACACATGACATTTTGATAAATTTATGAAGACCATGTGAAATTTTACAATTCAAAGTTTCCTTGATATATTCTATATGGTGGCTTTGATTGAGTCGTGTTCAACATGCAATTTCAAATATGAACAATGACGACAACACAAAAAAGGTCAATCAACTTAAAAGCCAATCAACCCCGCGCGCATTTTATTTTCATTTTTTTCTGTTTGTTCGTTCCATTCGATGCGTTTGCTCATATATACATGCGAACAATCAAAGCGATGGTAATGACCACATAAAACACGTGTATTTCGAGCCGGTCGATTAAATTATTATTATCGAGGCAAGCGAAAAGGTGGCGAGGTGCCGTGTGCCAATGACGGACTAGTAATTTCTTTTATCGGTCAATAATCAGTGTGGTTACGACGTTTTTTTAAGTATAACGTTTTCGGCACTTTTAGTTCCACGTTTGTTTCGAACCAATTTCCCATATTATTATATTCGCATTTTATTATTGCTGCTCAATGAACTGTTACAATATGCATACATATAAGTTTCCATAAGAAAAAGCTTATTTGCTGGCTTTAGTGATTCGATTTTATAAATAGTGTGTAGAGAAACGTGCAGAGAGTGAGATAGAGAGCCGTAGTGTGTGCAGAAGAAAGAGAGGAGGAGACCATAAAATGGGGGATAGGGGTGGCAGGGATAGAGTGAAATGAGAAAATGTAATGAATGTGCAAAGCTTGAAAATCGTTGTCAAAGTGTTGCTATTGTCATTATGGCAAAGTGTTAGAACAAACGCCATTTGTCTATTGTCTGAAACGGCACATCGTTCGTTGTTTTTCTTCATTACTCGTAGTCACATAGTGACAAAAAAGAGTTCAGACTCGAGCTTGATGAACTTTTCGACACACACTTAGATGCATGACAGCATTTTGCATACATTTTGACGAGTCTCGAGAACTGCTTCAACGTTGCAATTCATAATTACATGTAATTTTTATTGATCAACCTCATGAGTTTTACCAACCGTTCTGTTCTTTGTTTGACTCACCCTTTTGGAAAGGGACAGTGTATACTGTTTTATTTCAAGCACCGTATTATTTTATTACCATGTTTCTTTCGTAAAATTTTCATAACTTTAACAATGATGTTTCTTCTTACTCTTTTGTAGATCGTATTCAAACCCTTTTACTTATCACTTCTATTTTTGTAATTCTCTCTTTTTCAGATCTTCTATTTTTAGTGGCTTGAGAAAATGTATTAAAAAATCGGAGACGCATACGCACGAAAGACTAGACGCAACGAAAGACTAGAGAAGGCCCATATTGGTATACATTTGTAACTTGACACAAACGGAAGCACACACAACACAGCAACAACAAATAATAACAAAAAAAATGGAAAGCAAAATGTTTTTGCCCGTTAAATCAAATATGTAAGTATATATTCTAATTGCCCTCACGCGAACGACACAACAAATCAATTCCCGGCCACCAGCTTCAACTCACATCAGTTTTGGTTCGGCGATTATTGTTGTCCCTTTTGCAAACAAATTTGTTTGTCGTTTGTTTGAAAAACGACATCAATTTTTATTTAAATTTTACCCGGCCATTAGTCCGCAATTTATAGCTTTTGTTCTCAACTCTTTTTGCTTTGGTCGATTTTTTTTTTGTTCAACGATTTTTGTTTGAATATATTTTAGCTCAACTGCGTCAGCGGTGAGCAATGGGACGATAGCTAGTGCCGAAGACATTACGGTGACAAGCAATTCAACACAAACACCATGCGATTTGAGTCCATTGCCCATTAATGATGACATGCTGCCACAAGCCCATCATCAAAATCCTGGACATTGCATTGCATCATTTGCAGCGATCAATCAGATGCGACAAAATTCTCAGGTAAAACTGAATATACACAGCTGTTTACACAATGTTCGTTTTTATTCACATCTCGGTGTTACAAATTGAACTTGCCAACTGCCGGGCGTTGCTTGAACTCCGTTCTATTTCACTCTTAGTTTTTATAAATCCTCACTCATTTGCATGCAAGGAATTTACAAAAAAAATGTGGAATTGTGTTGAACATTTTTTTGCAAGGCATATTAATGCAGAAACATTGCAATGTAAACCACGTAATATTTTTTCAAGGAAAATATTTTCCCGAGCGTGTACGTGATTGATCAACGTTTTTTTGGTGCTTGCATTGCTTCACATTTTCATATAGAATATTTTATGCCTGGGCTGAAGAAAAAATGAGATGGAGAGAGAGAGAGGAAGAGTAAGAGTAGAGAGGGCGAAGAAAAGATATAATAACTGACATTTAAACATCCGTCTGGATTTAGTGAAGAGCAATGCGAGAGTGAATACAAATTAATTATCATTAATGGAGTATGTAGTGAATGTATTGTATGTAAAGTGGAAATTTGAAAACAAAAAAATTTAATTGAGAAAGGGTTGTTCCCAAATTGTTGTAGATGGGCAAAAAATTATTCCAAGGTCGATCGAATTGTCCGTTCATTTTTTTAATTAATTTGTATAAAAATATACGGTTTCGGTCTACTCGGCCCGAACAAAATTCGAGAAATCCGAACACCCTAAGTGTCCGTTCCGGATCCCGCCCGAATCGAAATTTTCTCGGGCCATGCCCTCCGTTGCAACCTCTGGAGGGAAAGCTATTTTCCATTCAAATACTTGCTTTTGTTAAAAACTTAAAAAAAAATGCAAACAAATGAAAACTAATTCAGATTTTGTGTGTGTAATCATTTTTTATGGAACCAGCTATGTGATGTCATTCTGGAGGTAAGCGGCGAGAAGATAAACGCACATCGTGTGGTCTTGGCCTCAGTTTCTCCGTATTTCTATGCTATGTTTAATGGTATGTAAAATGTAATCACTATTCTATTCCAATATTCGCAGCCATTTCGAATAACACATGTACAGAAGATGGAAATGTGCCTTTTATCGATAAAAATGCCGCCAGTTGTGTGGATGAATATCGATGGCGTGAGAAATCGATCTGTGGCTTCGAATTTAATCGAAAAAATTTCTGATCATAAAAACAATGATGACCAAACAATGTATGGCGTCACACATAAAATGTTCCGTCTGACAGTTTTTTTACGCATTCCATCTTCTGTATGCTTTATTCGGTTCATTCTATTTCCTTGTTTAATTCACATTAAAACCATAACAACGGATTCGCATTCGTTTTTATGTCATTCACTTTTCTGAAAGCGAGACAAGTTCTCTCTCGTTATTAATATTCATTTGTCATCTTCTTATTTGCTCCGCATCGTTTGGCTTGACTTTTGCTTGACGCCTATCGATTCATACACATGTCATCTACAATGTTTTACGGCTCATGAATGAATGCTTATTATTCGGCGGGTTTTCGATTGTGCTTTCTTATCCGCGCGCGCGCGCGCTACGGCTTACGTCTTTGAACGACGGAATATAATGGAATGAATGAATGCTGACGCTTACACCAGATGATATGCTTGAACGAAATAGTGTGACAGTTACATTGCACGATGTAGATCCGAGCGCATTATGCCAATTAATTGATTATGCGTACACTGGCGAAATAACCATAAGGTTAGTCTTTTACATATAACATTCTTTTTATTTAGAACAAGAATACGTTTGTAAGATTTGTGGAAAATGATTATTCCTCTGTAAAATAATAAAATAAAAGCAAATTTTCTATATCAAGTATTTTTCTATTTTTTTTAAATTTATTTTCATTGATTATTGGATTTCATTATGGTCCCGATTAGTGAAGATAACGTACAGGTAAATACGACTCATATTTAATACATTGTTTTTGTTTTCGCAGCCAGTTGTAAAAAGAGTAGTCAGTATGTTGTCGATTCATTTTCATCTCACCACATCCACACACTAGTCACATTCTCTCACCTTATTTTCTTTTTCATGACTTTTCACCTTGTTGTTCTGCTTAAAGCTGTTATTTTTTCTCTCTTTTGTCGTTTCGTATAGGTTCTTTTGCCTGCATCGAGCTTACTTCAAATTCATTCCGTGCGTGAAGCATGCTGTAAATTCCTGCTGCGGCAACTTCATCCGTCTAATTGTTTGGGCATTAGGAGTTTCGCAGGTATGCTATAAAATTGTCAACAACTAAGAGTGTTGTCGGTAGCCGTTTTGTTCGCCAAACCATCATCTACACACTTGTTGTTTTTTTTGCTAAATATGAATTGGTACTGTGGCACACATTATTGTGCTCATTCATCTTTATTCATTAAGCGAAGCAGAAACGGCAAAGAAATACATATAATTCTGCGTGGTGGCGACAGTGCGATGTTAGTTCGGCTCTTTTGATAGCGTGTATTTGTACTTTCCTCCATTTCTCATGTTGATCGCATAAGATGGATAGTTTAATGCAGAAAATTTAATAAAAACTCACATATGGAACTCGCTTGAATGCATTCTGCGCAATTTCCCTGTGTTGAGTATGTCTTCGTCGTCGTTGTAGTCACAGGATAAATAACATGAATTAGGTCATGGCTTTTGACGTTGTTTTACTACATTTTTCATATAAGCGACACTTTTACGACAACAACAATGACTCAACGTAAATGTGAAATATGTTTTCCATTCATACACCACGAGGTTTTCCATTAACATAAATAAGTCCATCAAATCATAGTTAGTTGTCAAGGCATTTTGCGTCTGAATCACAAAATGATCACATGCGAAGGAAAGAAGTGCTATTTCGAATCCATTTCAATAGGTTGTTTTTATTGACATCAAACAATTTGTCTAATTTGATGCGAAAAGAATATACAGCCAGCGCTCGCGTTGGCAGGAGAGGTATTTATCATATCAAAAGCCACTTGACAACTTCCAAATACAACTTCTATTGATTTAGGACACATTTCAAACAATCCATTCTAATTTTACATCACTTGACACATGTATTTCACTTTTCGGTTTTCTCTTTTTTTCTCATTTTCAATTCGTCGATTACAGATGCCCATTCGTGCAAAGAGCTTCACACGAGATCACATAAATATGCACTTCAAAACTTTCAACAGGTGATTTTAACGGATGAGTTTCTTGACTTGCCATTCAGCGAGGTAAGTAGTAGGCACTTGGAGAATGGCTTTTTTTTATTTTGAACAGTTGCTTTTACCATGACATCATAGCCACATCGTGAATTCTTATTTAAAGCCGATTGTAACATTGTCGCTTTTAATGCTATGAATAAGTTCACATTGTCACTTTTACTATCAAACACCAACCACATGTGAAATTCAAATGAATTGATGCACATTTACACGAATGTAATCTTTCAGACATTCCAAAAGGATTTACCGAACATGGTATCAAATGCAAATTTGGCCGCCGCACGATTGACGCAAACATACGATTTTCATTCGAAATTGATACTCTGAATCATTGTCATGAGATCATTTTTTTCTGCTGAAATTTTAGACTCCGTTGCATGTAAAACCGAATAAATTTTGTAGAAAAAAACGACACTTTTAATAGATAGTAATTGACTCAGTTCATGAGTGAAATACTTGCTTACAATTCAATGGCAATGATACATACAAGGATTGAATCAGCACCAAAGTGTCAAATTACCAAAAATACCGATAAAATACTGATACGTTTGTAATAGAGCTACCATTTCATTTCTTTCATATTTGTCGATGTTTTTTTTTGTTGATTTGCCCCTCTACTGTGGTTGTAATCACGACCCATAATGATTTTGATGAATCATATTTCTGAAATGTTATTCTTCGACCCTAACAAATTGTCACATCTTCTGTTATCGATACACCCTATTCGTCATATCCATCAAAGCTCGTTTACACGGTGTACCAAGGCGATTAAATTATCTGTCATTTGATAAACCACAATTTCTTTTAACGATGGACTCGCAAAAGCCGTATAATATGTTTTGGTTTGTCGGTGATTGCAATCACAATGTGTTTGATGTTCCACTAGAAAAATCCATTGAAATGCTAAAAACCAAAAATGTTGGCCACAAAGTTATCAATTGATTTGATTCATTTTCACTATTCGTCCGGGTGTTGGTTGTATTCCTAATGAAAAATAGAGTTATTACTGTAATTCGATTATTATACTGCAACGATTTACGAAGTTGAATTCCATTCCAAGAATTTGTTACACCGAGTGTGTACCAATATAGTTAGAGATGAGTTTTCTGTAGTTAATTTGAGAAATATTTTTATTAACAAAGTTATCTGAACTACTGATTGAATACGACTGAATTAGATTCAGTTTTGAAGATTGCAATCCAATTCATTTAGTTCTATACAATTTTGTGTCAAATTATCATATTCATCATTTTTTTTACTGCAACAACTTATTGACAACAAAAAAATTCGTTGAAAATACTTAACAAAACATTTGAAAAAAAAATGTGAAAAATAGAGAATATAATTGCTTGTATTTTGGCTATTTACAAATTGTCCCAATTCAATCTGCTAGATACATAAAAAATGCAAAATCAAATAAGTCCACATATGAGAGATTCGGTTGGTAAATTTTGTTGTAAACTTCAATCGAGAAGCTTGGACAAAAGCGAAACATTTTATGATTTAAATGCTCAAAACTAAGCTTGAATAGCATAAAAAAAGTTGCACATATTTTGTTGTTGTTGAATTAAACTTTATTTCGTGTACAGAAATCTAAAGAGAATTTTAGATATGTAGTTACCAGCGTTATGACAACGAATCAAAGATCTTTCCAATAAAGAAGAATAGAAAAGAAAAAGTAAACAATCCTAAAATGTTGTAAGAAGTTTATAACTAAGATTACAAATGTCAAAGCTCCATTAAATGAAATGAATTGTGTACTGGCATATGTTTTTCGACAAACACGACATCTAAATTCGTAAATAAAAACGTTAAATTGAGCGATTGATTTTCTGAAATGTTGAAGACTAAGCCGAGCATTTGTATGTTGGTCATAAATTGATTAATATTTTTTTTATATCGCTGTTGGCTACTCGATGCTAATGTGTTTGTTAGCTCAAATAATTAACACATTTCAGTAAATGGTTCGTCAGAACTGCTATGCCAACAAAAGTTGCACAGAAGTTCTATTGAATTACCAAGATGCATAAAGTTTTCTGGTAAATATATTATTGTTTGTTATGTCGACCGAACACAAAAATCGATACGCACACAAGTGTTCACGACTTTGAATGGCCAACGAATCCGAATTTCGGTTGGATTTGAAATACAATGTTCGCACATCGTTAATGCGATTGTTTCCATTCTTTGGCGAAATGGTTTTGCCATTTGTGTTGTCAATTGCAGTGGTTTTGCTCTGATTCTGGTGTGAGTAATGAAATTGGCGTAATTCTTTTTTTTTGTTTCTGCTCATTTTCACAGGTGAACGATTTAATTTCAAACAATCAGTTGAACATTTGTTCGGAAGAGAAGGTGTTTGTTGCTGTATTGAATTGGCTGAAACATGATCTCGTCGAACGTAAACAGCACATTGCCGAAGTAAGTTAAGAAGCCCCTAGCATTTAAACGCCACCGAATGCACATTTTTAATACTAATATTATGTTTTTTGTTAAATACATTGTTTGCATTACTCTTTCATTTTCCGTATATTTTCTCACTGGTCGATTTAGCTAATGAGCCACGTACGTTTGCCGTTAGTTTGTCGGGAATTTTTAATGAGTTGTGTGGAAACCGAGAAACTAATCAGAGAAGATCCACAATGCAAGGAATTACTACTTGAAGCAATGAAGTATCATTTACTACCGGAACAAAGAAGTCTGATGACAACGCAACGAACACTTGAACGTCGACCCGACGGCATGAAATCGTATGTGTTTGCTGTTGGTGAGTTTTCGCAATTAATTAAAAGTCACATGAAACCGTTAGTCACGGATTTAAATGGTTCTTCTTCTTTTCTTTTTATTCTATATCTATTTGCTACAAACAAAAGGCGGTGGTAGTCTATTTGCAATTCATAATGAGTGCGAAGTCTATAATCCACGGTATATCGAAGATCTTTCATGCACTTTTCCATTTAAAATGCACACAAATTTAATGTTTTTTTTCCCTCTGATTATCATCAAGAACCAATACATGGATGCCAATATCATCGATGCTATGGAGAAGAAGTCGAAGCGGTGTGACCTCATTGCGCAAAATGTTGTACGTGGTTGGCGGGTATGTATATTCACATTTGACCGATATTAAATTGAAATTGTTGCAAATTTAATTAAAATTAATCAAATGAATTTTGGTTGTTAATATGCTATTCAGGTATGATGGTGTGACAGATCTCTCAACGGCCGAACGATATTGTCCAAATAAAAATGTATGGGAATATATAACGCCGATGGGAACGAAACGTTCATGCTTGGGAATTTGTTCATTTGATGGTTTAATTTATGTGGGTGGTGGTTATGATGGGGCCAGCTGTTTATCGAGTTTTGAACGTTATGATACATTGACTGGTGTTTGGTCAAGTTGTCCTTCGATGAGCACAAGACGCCGATACTGTCGTTTGGCAGTTGTTGATAATTGTATATATGCACTTGGCGGCTTTGATTCGAGCAATTATCAAGCATCGGTTGAGAAGTTTGATCCTCGCGAAGGAAGATGGTCATCCGTTCCGTCAATGACATCTCGTCGATCAAGCTGCGGTGTTGCCGCCCTTGATGGTAATTTATATTGTATTGGTGGAAACGATGGCACAATGTGCATGAGCAGTGGTGAGTACACTTCAAAATCATTACATAAACACCAAATTCTGTATTTCGCGATGACAAAAGGTTTTCTGGTGTAATCTTGCAATATTTTTTTCAACGGTAAAAAATATATTTTATTTTCACTTTCAGGTGAACGATTCAATGTGCGCCGCAATGCGTGGGAACCAATTACAGCTATGCATTCAAGAAGGTTTTTTTAATTCGTTTTTTATTTGCCATTTTCTACATTTCAATTGAATATGGTTTTCCTTAGATCAACGCACGAAGTGGTTGAAATTGACAATGCGTTATATGCCTTGGGTGGAAATGATGGTTCATCATCGTTGAATTCGGTTGAAAAGTATGATTCACAGCTCAATAAATGGACCATTGTAAATAGCATGGTCACTAGACGTTCATCAGGTAAATGATTTGGATCATTCAAGCGATTACATTTTCATTTCATTTGTTTCTTTTTATCGTTTTCGTTAATCAGTCGGCGCTGCCGTCCTTGAATGTTTCAACTTGGAACGTGGACTTGTGCAGACTACGAATTTATGACATTTGAACAGCATTCCAGAATCGACAACATCAGTCAGTGGCACGGCCACTACAACCACAACACCTCCGCTGTCTTCATCAGTGCCGAATACATAACGATTCTTTCATCTATTTTGTCGTTAATCAATCAATTGACGGCAACCATCTGAAATTTCACTTTTTGTGTATTTGTACACATGCCACGATATTTTCAATTAATTTTACATGAACGCGTGTCACAATTTCTCATTTTGTGTGCGCACATTTTTCATGTAACAGCACATTTTTACTCTAAAAGAATTTTTAACACAATCTTTATGACGCATTTAAATTCAATGCCAACACACTTTTTGCTGAGAAAAATATAAAGTAGAGGAAATAAAAAACAAACTAGGCAAAGCATTTTAACAAAAGAAAAATGTACAAAATACACGTAATTTAACATTGATAATTGCCTTTTTCGGCTTAATTTTTACAGTAATAAAATGAAATTATTTAAGAAATGAGTGGGTATATCTTTGTTGACATTCAAATTCGACCAAAAAGAAACAAAAATTTAATAAATTTATCAATTGATCTATACACTCGCATTTGCTACGTATATTCGTATATGTAAAGAGAAGTAAAAGTATGAAACAATAGAAATATCCATCGACAAACATATTTTTGCTATATTATTCAATGAAATTGCTTGAATAATCGAATTTTTATTGAAAATAGAAATACAATCGCAACTATATATAATACAAGCCTTACTCGAATCCGGATTTCTCAAAATCCGATTAAAAAGTTGTCCGACCCAACCGTTCGATTGAAATGAAAACAAAAAAAAAATCATATTTCGGTCGGATTTTCATTTCAAATTTCAATTCGGGTTTCAATCTGGATGGCTTAGTATATTTAAATAATATAAAATATGAAACCAGTCTTACCAGTTCGTTAGATCCAGAAAATCAATCGTTAGAAAAATCAAAATCAGTTCACTCTGACGGTTAAGGAAGGTTATACTTCACTCATGTTTCATTTTCTGTCGAGATCATGATGGCCCCAAACTAAACGAGTAAAATTGGTTTCTGAGATATCAATTTTATGTTTGTAAAACAAGCATATATGACAAGATATTTGCCTATTTTTTATTAGTCTTCATTTTTGTGATTCAAATGCATTTGGAGTTGAGATTTCATAGATATCAATGTCAAAACAAATGGACCATGTCATAATTGATGAAAAGATGAAAATAAATAAAAAGATCGATGGACTCCTGTTAATTCATAATTCCAAATTCTCTTTATTAGCATAACAATTCCAAGTGAAAGGGATTTGTTTTTGCATTTGAATACAATTTAAATTCATGAATACTATAAACCAAAAATACGAATCATCCACCACTGATAAAGGAATTTTTATATAAAAAACGGAAAAACTTGATTTTTTCCATAAATTTCACTAGACATTTGCAAGTAATTCCAAACAAAATGTGTGCTTTATGCTTGAAACGACTAAACGAGCTGGATTTTTTATGTCTTAAATCAACTACATACATTATATAGCCGGTGTAAATCTTGGTTCGTTCGTCGGCTAATTTTCATCGTTAGGTATGTCACATTTTGACAACATTCCAACCATTTTAAGGAGGAAAATGCATCAAAAACCATTTCAATTAATTCACAACAATAAAAGAAATTAAAAAATTAGTATTTTCCGTCAATTGAATCGCTTCATTCAAACTTCATTGAAAAATGTTATTATTAGCGTAGATTCGCTTTATTTTTTTATTTTCCAGCTATTTTAATTTTTCAAAGTGTTTTGTGTCAATCAAATTTCCCAGAATAGAATTTGCACTTCCCAAATCTGTGTGTAGCCTTCGTGTATCGTGTACAATATGAATATATAAAAAAAACAAATCGATCCAAATCGGATAGACAGATTTTTGTGAAGTTTTCAAATCTTTGGAGTACTTAATCAAAGCTCGGCCAATGGACGATATCAACTCTGTCTATATGAATCGAATCAGTGAGATGAAAAAAAATCTCTTAACTGCAAATATTTGTTTAACTTCAATGCTCATTTCTTCTCATGGTCACTTTGAATTTTAGACTTTATTCGGACATATTTTTGTGTGCATTGTACTCATTCGCCTAGATTTGATAATCACAGTGAAATCAAATTCTTAGTAAAAATCAAGCTTTTATCACTCGATTTGCTAAAACTGATATGTGACATAAGCTTCAAAAAAAACTTTTAAGTTTAAAGATCAAACCTCTTTTGTCTGTCCATTCAAATAGTTTTATTGAACCAATTTTGTCTACTGATCAAAAGATAAAATGAATTAATAAAAAAAAACAGCAGTGATCGAATTTTTTTATGTTTTTAGCTTTAAATATTTCGAAATGATGGAAATCTAGCAAAATTATGAACAATGTAAATATACAAATTTACCAAAAGAGACAAAAATAAACATTCATGAACAGAAAATGTAGCTTTTAATTTCGTAACTTGGATTAATTTAAACATTGTGAGGTCTGTGGATTGTAATTGGCAACACGTAAATAAAGGCTTCAATGTAAAACACGAGTTGCAGGAAAATCACAATTTGTTTACGTGTATTACCAAGAATTGTTGATTGTTGTTTGTTTTTAAAGAATATAAGGTAGATTATCAGTAATGTGAGACATCATGTTTATTCTTGGAAAATGATTATTTTTTTCTTTCTATCGATATCGTGGACTCGAAATGATTTCTGACGTAGGTACAAATCTTTTACAGGGTGTAACATAAGTAGATGTAGATATTTCTCATATTCCTTAAACTGTGAGCCACTCATTGAACTGTTAACATTTTTTTATATTCCGATGACATGCGGACGGCCATGATTAAATAACTTCCAACACCTCAGGCACAGGTTCTTTGTACAAAATCCAGACAATACATTTTGTCATCTGGATATTTCAGCTTATCTGGATGACGTTAGGCGATGATACGAGGTGCAAACAATATTAGTGATTGTTATAGATATAAAAATAATACCATAACTATATAACAATCATTTCTATTGTTTTCACTTCGGTTAACTATAAGTATATGAAACTGACTTTTGTCAACAACACTTTTTTAGTTAACTCTGAAACATAACCGACTATATTCGATTTCAATCATCTATTGGTAATTTTAACCGAATAAAAGTGATTAAAATTGACTTAATTTATAGTCAGTCAGTCATTTTTTTTTCACAAGGGTATGATTTCAATTTTTGTCTGGACCATATTCCATTTGTTTCATTTATATTCTCCTTGAAGGTCGTCGAAATTTTTTTTACAAATAAAAAAACTGCTTCGTCAGCTGATTAAAAATGAATTTTTAGATGCGAAATTTGAGAAAGATTCGACTTATCATTTTTTACTTTTGAATGTCAAAAACTGAAATCAGAAATTTACTTGAAAAACATAAAACAGTAAAACCTTTCAATAACGGAAAAAAAATGTACGCCGTTGTGAATTTCTATACAAAATGACACCCGCACAATAGCGGAAAATCAATGCATAGTTACCAGCTTCAGCATGGTTTTGATTAACTCGTTGAAATTCTTAGCTGCATTCTTGTTACTGTATCTAATTATTTCGATATCAAATGCAACTAACGAAAAATCTGAAAATCGTTGGTAATGGTAAGTAAAGAATAAAAGGGCAAGGTTTTACTGTATATTCAATATAAAGCGTGATAATAAAAACATCTCATGTTTCGCAGAAATGCTCGGTACAGTATTTTATTATTACTCGTTCAAAAAATTAGATTAAAAGCAGACAGAAAAATGCCAATATTTTTACCTATGCGATACACAAAAGCAATATGCCAATTATTATTGGATAATTGGAATTTCAAAATTCGCAATGTGGAAATGTTTTTTTTTTTCAGGTCAGCTCAAATTCTCTGATGCACTGTATAAAAGAGCAATTTTATGCATTCCTTTTTTATGTTTCATCTCATAATTTTTTCTCAGTTTGTAAGTCAACACCAAAATGGACCTTATTCGATTGATTTTAAATATTTTTCAGTTTTAATTGTTGTTCGCTCCACGATTATTTCTTTGAATAAAAAAATCTTTGAAAAAAAGTAAAAAAAAAATTGGAATTTTTAAATAATCCATCAAATAAACAACGTTCAGTAATTCACTGAAAATATAAAAAAGTCTGTGACACAATAATAATCATTGCTATTAAATTGATAAACTTTCGGAAAATACTGTGATTCACACTTATCTTTTTGAGCATGACGCTGGTGATACCAAAAGTAATTATCAAAAGTGAGTATTCGGTAAATATTAAATATTCATAGTGAGTAACAATTTCAGTGAGTGAGTGACACGAAATCGAACGGAACGCTTTAGTCAAAATACATTTTTACTTATATTTAATAATACTTATTTTTAATAATATAAAAATTGATCAACGATGAAGCAGCATTCGATCCAATTAGTCTTTTTATTAATATTCCTTATAGAATTTGGAAAAGCACGTAAGTTATTAAAATGAATAGAATAAAATCAATGTGCGCACAGTTTAATAGATGAAAAAATGAATATTCTATGATCTTATAATGAAAAAAAAAAAAACAATTATTGAACTGTCTAAGAACATCAAAGCCCACCAACACATTCAGTTTCCTTGTTCAAATGAACATTTTGCAATCAAGACAATAAAAATTCGATCGCTTTAATTTAAATGTTAAAAAAAAATTGGCACTCAACAAATTTGGATAACTTGAATTTCAAACTTTGAAACTACTCAAAAGTATCGTAAGAAGAATTGAATCAAAATTATGATGAATTATTCTCGTAATTTGGTTTAAATAGAAAAAACGAATTAAATCAGCTTATCGCATGTAGAAAGTTCAAATTTTAGTAAGATTAAAATGTTTGTCAAAAAACCTACATGAATTCGAATTTAAAATAATTTGTTATCATTTGTTTTTTAGTCAAAAATTCAGAACAGCGTTGTATAACGCCTTTTAAAAGAGCTGGTTTATGTATCGATGCTCAAAAGTGTCTACCTGTTTACAATTTGATGATAACAAATACAAAACTATCGAGATATCAAGATGAATTTCTGCGTAATAGTAGATGTGATCTCACCAATGCTTTAAAGGTAATTTCAATAACATATTTTACATTTCAAATGATTACACTTTAACAAAACCTTTTAGGTTTGTTGTCAATTAAACACGACTCCAACACCACCAACAGTCGATAGACCACCAATTCCAAAAAGACCAGCAAGACCAATGAAGTATCAGACTTCTTCGAATCTTTTGCCTCAGCCGCCGTATTGTGGTATTTCAGATACGGTTCCACTGGGCTCTCGTATAATTGGTGGAAAGGCAACCCAGTATGTATAGATAAATAGATATTGATAAATCTGATAAATACAGAATTAATTAGAATTTTTGTTACAGAATTTATGAATTCCCTTGGATGGTCTTAATCGAATACACTTTCCGTAAGTCAAATTCTTTTTTAAATGTCAGTAATTTATATCATTTCGATGTGATTAATATTTTATTGATTTCAGCTGATTCGGGTCAGAAATACTTAGATTGTGGTGGTGTTTTAATAAATCATCACTACGTTTTAACAGGTATATAACAAATATGAAAATCAATGAACGACAATAAATAACATTCGATTTCAAATTTTAAGCTGCCCACTGTGCGAATGACAAAACAAGCGGTAAACTAAAAAGAAAAAAAAGAAAAACGAAATATAGACTCATCGAATTGATATGATTTTTTTATGTAAGGCGTTAGACTTGGCGAATGGAACCAAACAACGAATCCAGATAACCAAGGAGCATTTCGGGCAGATCCGTTTTTAGATGTTCGAGTCGTAGATGTCATTCCACATGAATTCTACGATTCACATTCACTTGCAAATGATATTGCTTTATTACGTTTGGAAAAACCGGTTAACTATACAAAATCGATCAAACCCATCTGCCTCCCAAGTGCAGTGGGAATGGTCAACAAAATTTTTGATAACATTGGGTTAACCGTTGCAGGTATTATAAACAAAGTCTTCTTTGTAGTAATCGGTGTGTATTAATATAAACAAACTTTCTTTCGTCTGATCTTATCAACAGGCTTTGGGCAAACAGAGGTTGTTACACAATATATAGTCATGTCTTTACTCATAAAAATGTTCAAAATCTTAATTTTATTTGCTAATTTTTCCCCTTTTGGTTTCATTTCAGAGCGGTACGTTTTTCATTTTTTTTAAGACGTAGCTCCAGTCGCATTTCATTTTCATACATATTTTTTACTGAACATTTTGTTGATTTCATAGATATTGTAAGTAGCATCAAGTTGATGGTTAACATTGAAGGTTTCCCTCAAGATAAATGTCAACGTTTATATCGTTCCCTGACACTTAATCAACTGTGTGCTGGCGGTAAAGCAGATCAGGATTCGTGCAACGGTATTTAATTGAAAAAACAAATGTCATTTTAATAATCGAATTCAATTCAAACATTTATTGTTGTTTCTGTTGCAAATAGGGGACTCGGGGGGACCGTTGATGTGGACGCCAAACAACAGTAACCATACTTATTTAGTGGGTCTAGTTTCATACGGTCCAACACCGTGCGGTCAAGTGGACCTACCTGGCGTGTACACTGTTCGTTCATTGATTCATTTTTAAGAATTTTCTCAATTAAATTTCAATTTTTTTATGTTAACAGAGAGTTTCCAAGTACCTTAGTTGGATATACACCAACGTCTTACCATAAAATTCGTTCTTCGACGAACAAGATGCACAATTCGACTAGCAGACGATAATTCGACCAGAAATCCCTTTTGATTTAAATAAATATCATACTTTGAACAATAAAAGTCTCTGATATTATTATTCAAATTCACACTTTTTTCTTTCAATTTATATTGTTTAATCTTAAAAAAGCATGTTATTTTCTCAATTGATTAATAGATAGAATTTTACGATAAAAAAAAAAAACATTTATAAAAACTGTGAACTGACCGAAGGCATTCTGATTGCAGGTTTAGTATGGAAGAATGAAAAATCAGTCGTAATGCTAAAAATGATTCGAATGAAACTGTTTTTTTGTTGTTTTTATGTCTCAATCATTCTTTATCAATTTGATTCATCATTTCCTATTTTTTTGTCCAAATGCATTTTTTCCTTCTTTTCGTTACATCAAAAGTATTATTTATACATCGTTGTTTCTCGGTTGTAGTTTTATAAGCTTTGTTGGAATTATTTTGCTGTTTCAATGTGGCCTGTTCGGAAAACCAAAATTTAACTTATTGCCATAAATGGTAAATTTTCATTTTACCGTTCATTTTAGCATATTGAATCGGTCTTCTCTTATCGACGTCCTCAGCATTTATATTGGCTCCCTACACAAACTATGATTCAGCCAGTTTTGGCGGTGAATAAACATTATTATTATTATAATTCTTTCTGAATAGCGCTGCCATTAAAAGGTAACTTGTGAACGTGTAAAACGTACTACTTTATATGCGGCACCATATCTTTAGACAGAGCATCTCCCATTTGAAAAAAGATTGTCCATATATTGACTAATAAAATTGCCAACGAACCATTTGTTCAAAGTTCGGAAGCCTGCATTTTGCATGGGCGAACAAACAAGAAAAAACGATGTTTGAATGACCGTGTATTTTTCATGATTTACATTGAATGATCATTTTCTTGTTTTACATCATCCACGAAATGGAATTTGGGTGTGTTACAAACACCAAAAACAATATCAATTTTCGGTATTTTCGAGAATTACTCAGCCGTTCTACATACAACGTTTACACGGTGTATTACAACGCGGTCACCTTGCGGCAGAGCTACGCGTCAGTCGTATGTATTATTTATGTATACTATGCGAGACTCGATCCGCTCACACTTGTATGCGGCAGAGCTATGGTCATCGCTATATACATAAAGAATATATACGACCGACGCATAGCTCTGCCGCAAGGTGACCGCGTTGTAATACACTGTGTAAACGTTGTATGTAAAACGGCTGAGTATTATTCGATTGGTTTTACTTTCCAAAGAAACAATGCATGAAACAACGAGAATTTTTTTTGTTCAAGTAATATTATGTCTGTAATTTCAGATAAGTTAGGTATGTGAAAAAATGCTTTTTTGGCTTATGGTTTGAAACAATGAAAATTTTTATTTTTACTCTCAGTTTATAATTTGCTCCTCCGATATAAGATAAAATAAAATCAATTATGAAAAAATGGAGACCGTTTTTAGAAAAACTCGGGATATTGAGTGCATTAAATTGCATTATTGATCATCATAACCCTGTTGATGAACAACAACCGGTTCATGTGGACCATCTGCGCCCTTTAACTTGCAAATTGTTGTGTGTATATCGATGCAAACTCTCTGAATAAACTCTTTTGCAATATCCGACATTTCTCTGTAAAAGAAATGAAATTAAATAATTATATCATAATAACATGATTATGTCATACGGATTGTTATCGCAGCGTCGCTTTAACTCATCTCCAATTTTTTCAAGTGCGCCAATATCACTGAAATTCAAAATAAAGATTGAATATTTGTTAAAAGTCGATTGGAAAAATCACCAACGAACTCAAAAGCTAAACGCATGAAAAAGTGGTCCGGATAAACTGCATCGAAATCATCTATTACACTATTCACTCGTTGAATAATGGGATTTAAGAAAGAAAAAAAACCTCTGAAATGAAATTTAATTTGAAATTGAGTGCTTTTGATAATTGGCAATGTTTTTCTTCAAATATGAATTTACTCGTCTTGAGGATTCACTGGGGATCCATTGAATCTTTTGAACACTTTTGAATAGTCTTGAATTTTCATGCCACAGCATCTGAAAGTGTTGAAATCGACAAACTAAATAGGTACAACGATTAAAAATCAATATGTCCGGGTTCACCTTTCCATCCATGTAGTGCCATTGTATTCGCTTGCAGCTTTACCAATATTTTCAATGCCAATGTCTGTTGTCATCTCTCTAATCATTCCACTTAAGGATGATACTGGGAAAAAAGGCTGTGAAGCCGATATGACGTTCTTACCTAAAAATTGTTAAACGTTTTAAAACACAAAAATGTCCTTGAATCGAAACCAGCGGGAACCTCATCTTACTTTTATGTTTACCATTACGGGAGCTGCCAGGTGAAGCACAGATCTCCTATTAAACAGATCATTTTTGTGCATAATAAAATATGTTTATCTATAAATTAATTCAAATTAAGAGTGCGATTTTCTGAACGCTAAAAATGTATTTAAATTATTGCTGGACGGACAGACAAAATTGACTTTTTTTCGAACACGTACGTCTATTTCTGATTCTAATTTGAAAGCTCTTGAAAATGCTTTACAATTGTAATCCATGGACTTTATGACATTTTAAATAATTTCCCAAATTAATAGACCCTACTACAAATATCGAACAATATTCTAAGCTAACTCTTTACTCACCAAAGTAATAAAACACAAAACAATGAATAATTTCATCTTTAAATTCAAAACACTTTTTCGTTATTATCACATTTTTGCTGGTATACTACAATTTATATTCAAAAACCAGCATTGTAAATTTACAGTATTTGTTGAATATGAAATATTTTAAATTTTTCTTTTTAAATTTTGGGTTCATCAAATAGATTATTAAATTGCACGTGCGAAGCAATATATTGACTTAGCTTCTAAAACAAATACACAACTCATACGAATAAGGAGTTTACACTAAATAGACTCCAGAAGAAACGTTTTAAATAAGTTTTTTTGTTGGAATCTTCCAACTCTTGATAATTTTTCTAATAAATGTAGTAAAAAATACAAACTTGTTGAAAATAAGCTTTTGATGTTCTATCATTGTAGAAATACCAAGTTAAACATAATTACACATACGAACGGTTTTTTGATCAGGGGGGTCAAATTGGATGTATATTCGAATGTCCGCACATGTGAAAGTCGAAACTTGGGACTAGGTTTAAATAATTGTACCAAAAATGTACTTAATTGTACCGCTAGGGGACATTCGTAGCAATTCTAGTAAGCTAGTTTTATTTACGTATTCGCTAATCGCTTACTAGTATTACTAGTGAGTACACTAGTGCTGCTAGTAGCTGCTAGTTTTTCTAGTGTTTTGAAATTACCTAGACGTATCGTATGATACATAAAAGAAAGGTGACCGGTCATATTTTCCCCGGTCACAATTTCCCCCATACAAATCGAATGGAGAATTTATGTCCAAAATATCAAAGAAAATAATTCCTTATAAAATTTGATCATATTTTCCCCAAGAAAAATATTTTATATTCGGGAAATTATGGCCAAAAATCCAAGGAAATTATTTCCAGTTCGGTTTGGACATAATTTCCCGGGGAAAATATTACCAAACTGGTGGGGAATTTATATCCAAAACTTAATGGCCACAATTTCCCCATACATTTTTCTGAAAATTTGAGAAATTGTGGCCAAAATTCGAAAAAAAATCACAATTTATTTGTGTATGTAATTTATTTGAACATAATATTTTTATATCAATCAACGTAAATTTTTTCTACATGCATATGGCTTTTTATGATTTGTTGGCATAATGGACATTTAAATTTTGGCTCAATATCCCGTCGGCCCAACTCGAATTCAACCAATTTATCATTAAAATATTTTTGTTCCATTTCAAAGCACTTTAAACAATATTTAAAATGCCCACACGAAAGAAGCACATCGCTTGTTGCTTCAAGACAAATTACACAGGTCTTGCCTGAGATTACAGAACTTCCTGTGTCGGATGAAATGGATGCAACTGGCTCGGTTTCTTCATCTTCACCATCTGATATCCCCTCATAACCGAAATAGAAATGCTCGTCGCTAAAAATGTTGTTATCAGGGCATGTAACTCCATTCAAAAATCCGTCAACATCGATTTGCTTACTGTTCAACATTTCATCCATTTTACTAATTTTCTCGTCGCGAAGACGATAGTAGCGTCGTTGCAATGGAGGGTTTGCAGTTGTGAACAGTAACCCAAACTCGCGACTTTTGTGAAATTCTTCGTCTCGTAAGGCGTTGATAAGAACAAAAAAGTTCGCATGGGAAATGATTTTTCGGCCGAGATATCCATTGTACGCCTCTACAGCAGTTTGAGTACGCGTGATAAGCCCATACACTGAAATTTTTTCAGCTCCTTCCTGTTAAAGAAAAGCGGATTAAAATATGCCAACAAGTTTGTTTTTATTTTGACCCATTCAATTACCTTTCGAAGCCATTGACGCTCAAAATATGCCAGATACGTTTGAAATTGTTTAAATTTAGATAGGGCAAGTGTCTTCAGCTTATGAAAAGCCGCTACTATTAAATCTGATGGCAGCAAAGGCAACGCTAATAATTTCTTGTAAATTGTACGGGCCTCTCCATTTCTCTGGATCAGCTTAGAGAGTGCGCTCAACTTCGACATGTTTTTTTTTTGCTGCTTGTGTCAGGTGAAACCAACAAGTCTTGTGCTCGCAATTTGGGTACACGGATTTTAAGGCATTTCTCATTGGAATCTCAAAATCGGTCATGAATGATTTGCACTGCAGTTAACATTTCGTCATGTTATTACACGTAAATAAACGGAATTGTCTTCTTTCAGAAGAGAAAACAAAAAAAATTACTCAAATTTATCGGAGACATGTGTTGATTTTTTTCAGTATCATATTTGTGTAATATTTTGTCCATAAAGCCGATTGACATGCTCATTTTTAAAAGCATTTCCAATTTGATCAATAGTTTTCGGTGCAGGTGGCATGGTTTTATTGGCGATTTGCTACAATCACTTTTTATTTTGTTAAGCACGCATAACTTTTCTTATTCATCTTCATTCGTAGCGTGAATATGATGGACATACGGAGAAGGTAACGAACATACTTTTTTTTTCCATATCAAGATAACAGTGATCAACAGTAATGCTTAAGTCGCTTGCAAACGAACCAAGTGAATAGCGGAGACGCACGATAACGAAGTGAGTGTATTGCGGCAACGGATAACAACGTTCGTTGTCGCTATTCACTCACTTCGTTTTCGTGCGTCTCCGCTATTCACTTGGTTCGTTTGCAAGCGACTTACGCATGCTACAATATATTTTACATGCCTCAATTCATTTGCTTTGGACTATAAATTATAGTCTATAATACGCTAGTGCTTGCTAGTCGCTGCTAGCTGCTGCTAGTTTCACTAGTTTTTCTAGAATGAATGTCCCCTAGTTGTACCGCAATTTATTTTTAATTGTACCTTTCTCGTTTGGATAATATTTGAGGTTCAAATTTCGGGGCACTTCGATTTGCCGGTCAACTAGCCAAAATAAAACTCAAAGATATTTTTTGAATTTTTATGGCTGATAATAATTGTACCTAAAATGTACCTTCTTCTGCAGAGCATGTCCTTCAAAATTCACGGGGGGTTTCCCGAAAAAATGGCAAAAATGAAAATCAACGATATTTTTCATTTCGGGCCAACTCAATATTGTGATAGAATGACCTCACTCAATCTAATTAGGTATATTTTGAGATGATATTATTAGGAATAATATTCACTTTTTCTAAACTTCGGCTTCAAATGGACTTTATGCACTGGCTACTTACGTGCAATTCCTAAGCTAATTAAGCACATTAGTAGGGCAAATTATGATATTGCTGCATCGTTGTTGACTTTGATTAATGTATTTTGATGTTCAATTAATCAGTTCAATTTCAAGTCGATCACTGCATGAACGTAAATGCTTTCAGATCTTTATATAGGCATAAAAACGTAGACCTATGACTACAGGTTATCTGTCGATACTTTTACATTTTTTTTATTTATTTAGACGGTATACAATAAGAGGAACTGTGTTCATTACACATTTTAATGTAATCATTTCATTCGAAAAATGTTATAAACATGAACATATTAATAAGAATTTCTTTGTAGTGGCCAAACGATGGATTCAATCCAATCAATATAGTAGGCCACACGAGTATAGATGCTTGGTAATGTGGTTGCGCAATTTACACCAAAAGAAACAATGCCAACTACAGTTGCTCTGCTTGAATTACTGGTTGGGAAATACTGGAGAGGACCGCCACTATCTCCATGGCAAGAATCTCTTCTTGCTTCTGGGTCATATGCACAGTATTGTCCTTCGTTGATGCCATTTTGAAACTCCCTAACATTTGATTGTTTATTCCACTCCAAAATGGTTGAATTACATTTGAGCAATGGTACGGATGTTAGGTTCGTCTTGAGCAACTGATTTGAATTGGGCCCTTTGAAAAGATAATTAAATATTTGCATTAAACCATTCACCGAAATTCGTTTTATGTGAATTCATTAATAAAGACAACTTTATATACCTCCAATGACAGTGATACCCCAACCGATAACGATCAGTTCAGAGTCAACATCCTCCTCAATGGTGTGCACGCATGCTGCTGTAACGTCATCATTAAACAGAATTTTCGTTTCAGTTCGAATCAATGCAATGTCATTTTTCTTCGTTAGTGGATTGTAATCTGGATGTCTCTTGATATCCTGAAGATTATAAAAGAATTTTATTTAATAAAAAAAATTAGATTTTTAAGTGATCTTACCTGAATTAGATATATTTCACCTGGCAATCCATCATCATCATTAACAGTTAGCTGTTAGAATGAAAAATGCAAGATTTTTTGAATTTATGCAAATGGCATAGATTGTCATTAAAAGAGATTATTTGAAATTTTTTGGACCGTGCTTGAGTTTGGATGACACATATTTTTTAAATTAAATTCGCTTTGGTATCTACTTACTTTTCCAGCTCGAACTTGAGACGGTCTATTGGACTCATGTACACAATGAGCCGCAGTCATAATATAACGCTCGGATATGATAGTGCCGCCACAGCCTATCTTGTTTTCATTGCTGCTTCGACTTGTGTAGAATAATGCAACCTTTGAATAAACAGAGAAGTCGCTTCACGTTTAAAAATGATTTCTTGAAAAGAAGAATACTATCGGGCAAGAGACTCTGAGGTTCGGGAATTTTTAAAAATTATATGCACAAGATCTCAGCACAATTTGAGTCGAACAGGCGAACGAAATAGCATACGAGTATCTATTTCACATTGTTTCTACATCACAATGTATTTGTATAGACAGCGTTCGACCCTTGTTTACGACGTTTTGTTCAATGAATCCATTTCATTTGACGAATTCATGCATATGTGTTGATTTCGAATCCAGTTATCTTTGCCCCTAATTCTTTGATCCTCGTAATTAACAGAAATAAAATGTTGTAAATTTTACTTACCATCCAAGGAAACTGCACGACATTGACAGGCGAACCATGCGTAATTCGTACATTTACATCATTATTTGAATATTTCATGCAAGCTATTTGCGAGTCGGAAACTAAAAATGCAAATATTAACGAAATCAATCAAATAATGCTAACTTTTAAAGTGAATGGAAAGCTTTGAATGATTTTTCAATTACTAAAGTTTGGTGCTTTTCTCAGCAACTTGACCGCATCTCTACGATCTGAAAATAGAGAAAAAAGATTTTTTGATCATTTTCATCACTACTTAATTTTGCCCGATATTTCGAGTTCTTTTTAATTCAGAAGTGGCCAATAAAGTCAAACATTTTAGATTAAATCTAATAGATTTGTACGGCGTTTTAACTATTCCTGCTAAGATATTTCATGAAATTCTATCGATTGAAATGGAAAAATGATAGTTTTTAGTTCGTCATAAAATGATCCATATCATAATTATTCTAAATTAATCTAAACATTCAAATGTCTATATGTATAACATATTCAAACTCTCAAACTGGTTTTGCTCGAAAGGGCATTCTACACACAAAGAAATTAACATAACTTTTTAAACGATATATCGCTTAAATTTGGGATTCAAACGATAGATTCATCTTTGGAACGATGAAATTCGTTTAATTTCTACAAAGTTTTAGTAAAAAAGTTCCAATCATTTGCTTTTAAAAAACTTTGTGGAAAATGGTCATTCTTCCCTTAACTTTTCACCAGAAATCGATTTAGACCATTTAAAATCTCAAAAATTTAATTCGAATCTTAGATAATTGGGATTTCTGAATGAGAAATCGACTTTTTCTCCAAGTCCCTTCTTTTACCTTAAAAAAAAGAGATGCAGGCCCTAGAAAATATTCATTTACAATATCAAAATCGACCCAACCTATTGTGTATATATTTTGTAAAGCCCATTTAATTTCTCAAAGTAATAAGGTAACTTGAAAGAGCTCTATTGACACACGACTTTCTTTGTCCAATGATTTTAAAATGAGCAACTTGAAATCATTTAACAGGTCAAAAATCTGTTTTTTAAGCAAAATTGCTTGATATGGCTGAGCATATACAGTGAGACAATATTGACATCGACTTACCATACTGTATGGCAATGTGAATGGGCTTTTTCATCTGGTTGTCTTCGGCATTTGGATTGGCCCCATTTTCAACTAGAGTTTTGATTGTTTCTGTGTCACCTATAAAACACGAAAAAAATAATGGAAAAAAATAATGGAAAAAAAACTTTATTGAAAATAATTCTCTTTCTTTCAAAGCAATACCTGAAATAGCAGAATCGTGAAGTGGGGTCGCTCCCGTGTTGTCTTTGGCATTTATATAAGCGCCATGTTCAATTAGAGTTTTAATGGTTTCTATGTAACCTAGAGAGCGAAAGAGTGCAAGTGTGAAAATTAAACATCATTGAGCAGAATTCATTTCAATTCGGAGTAATTCTACCAAGCAAAGCAGCTCGATGTAGTGGTATCCGGTGGTCACTGTCTTCAGCATTTACATTGGCACCACGTTCAATTAGACATTTTATGGTTTCTGTTCGATCTACAAAGCATGGAATAAGACCATAGTATTCAAAGGAATTCATTTTAATTCAAAATGGATATAATTACCCCACTCAGTCGCAACAAAAAGTGGTGTCCTTTCTGCAAAGTCTGTGACATTCACATTCCCACCATTTTCAATTAGAATTTTCACCACTTCTGTGTGACCTTAAAATGCATAAAATGTGAAGAAATTAACATTTATTAGAAATAATTCATTACTATACTTACCATACTTTGCAGCTCGGTGAAGCGGCGTCGCTTCCTCATAGGCCCTGACACTTAAATTGGCCCGACGTTCAATGAGATATTTGACAACATCTGTGTAACCTGAAATACACGGAAAAATGAAAGAATACGTAGGTTGCTCCATAATTTTTTTTAAAATGGTACTTATAGTGTTGCCCGATGTAAACCATTGTCATATTCGTAAAGTTTGATGTTTTGGTATGTATTCGTGCCCTGAACCTTTTGTCGTACGAACGCTATTTGTATTGTTTACAGTGACTGGTAAACTGCGACTCAACAAAAAAATGAATTTTACACGTGAAGATTTTCGTAAAATGATTTACTACGATTTTCGAAGTAAATCATCTCAACAACAGTGTTTCGATCGACTTCATTTGGCCTTTGGCAATGAAGCACCAACCCTTCAGACAATTTATAACTGGTACCGAGAATTCCGTTGCGGTCGTAGTTCGCTCAAAGACGAGTTTCATACAGGTCGTCCAAAATCGGCTGTTGTGCCACAAAACATCGATGCTGTCAGAAAACTGATTATGGAAGATCGTCATGTGACCTACCGTGAGATTGAGGCATCTTTGGGCATTTCATCCCACAGCATACATACAATTTTGCATGAACATTTAGCCGTAAAAAAGATTTGTTCTCGTTGGATCCCACATAAATTGACCGATGAACAAAAAATGGCTCGTGTGAGTTGGTGTAAAGAAATGCTCAAGAAATTCAATCGTGGTGCTTCAAAAGACGTTAATAAAATCGTCACTGGTGACGAATCGTGGATATATGCCTATGAGCCCGAAACGAAACAGCAGTCGACTGTATGGGTCTTCCAAAATGAAGATAACCCAACGAAAGTTGTTCGAGCAAGAAGCACTTCGAAGCGAATGGTCGCCTGTTTTTTCGGGAGAAGTGGTCATGTGGCAACCGTTCCACTAGAGGATCGTAAGACCGTCAATTCTGATTGGTATACCACCATTTGTTTGCCCGAAGTGTTTGGTGAAATAAGAAAAAACAACCACCGTCGCAAAATAATTCTTCATCACGATAATGCGAGCTCTCACACATCTTTTCAAACTACTCGATTTTTGACCGGTCAAAACATCGAACTGATGGGTCATCCACCGTACAGTCCTGACCTGGCACCCAATGACTTTTTTTTGTTCCCAAGCGTGAAGAAAAAACTACGTGGTCAACGATTTTCGACACCAGAAGAAGCAGTTGAAGCGTTCAAAACACACGTTTTGGAGATATCAGTTTCGGAGTGGCACGAATGCTATGACAAATGGTTTCATCGAATGCAAAAGTGTATCGATCATCTCGGGGAATATTTTGAAAAACAATAAAACCATTTTCGACAAAAAACAACTGTGTTATATATGTTTTTAAAAAAAATTATGGAGCAACCCTCGTAATTGTTTGTAATTCGAAAAACTAGAAAAAATTACCTTTAGTCGCAGCCAAATGAAGGGCTGTATTTCGTTGATTACTATCTACGGCACTTATACTTGCTCCATGTTCAACCAGGTATTTGACTGCTTCCAAATTACCTGAATTACATGAAAATTGTTAATGATTTTTTAAACAACACCACTTGCTGGATGGTTGAATTACCATTCTCTACAGCCCGGTGAAGTGGTCTACTTTGGACACTGTTTTCAGCATTTACGTTGGCTCCATGTTCGACTAGATATTTTATTGCTTCTAGATTACCTAAAAAAGCATGAAAAGTAATAATATTATCATTCATTGAAATTTATTCTTGTTAATTTAGAGTATTGAATTACCATTCATCACAGCGAAGAATAGTGGCGTGTAATCAAATGATCTTTCGGCATTTTCAGTGGCCCCATGTTCGACTAGGTATTTGATTGCTTCCAAATTACCTGAAATGCAACGGAAGTGATGACATTAAATAATTTTTCTTTAATTCGGAGTATTGAGTTACCATTCTCAGCGGCCCAATGTAGCGGTGTAGCTTCGAGATCGTCACGAGAATTTATATTGACTCCTCGTTCGGCTATATATTTGACTGATTCTAAATTACCTAGAGCGTATGGAAATTGATGAAAACAACAACACATAATTAAAAATGTAAACAATACTAACACTATACGACCATTTGTATTGAATATATCGATAGGATACTCTCCTATCGATATATTCAATAGATTTGGCATTAAAATGTTCAGGATGAATTTTCGCTTGAGACTTTGCCGGGTGGTGGGAAATGATATTATGTATGAATTCTGTCAATATTTCTTACACAACCACATAAAATTACTCAGAGTTACAAAGATCTACAAAGATTTGAGAAAATCTAAATCGATTCGGAATAAGTTAAATTGATTCGACTATATTTTGACAATTTTTTGTTTCCAACTATTAGATTCCGCCATTTTGATTTTTTTACACTGAAAGATTCACAAATATTCAAATGTATCACAAATGTGATGGAAGATCTTTGGGAATTTCGGATCTAAAAAGATTCATGAAGATTTAAAATATCTACAAGGTCTAGTGATGGTGTCTACGCCCTAGCTACCATCCTACAAAATGCCACGCAAAAAGTCGTAATTTTTTAATTTCAAAGTTTTTGAAATAAATTACAAACTAATTCAATTCTTCAATTACCATTTTTGGCAGAGTAATGGAGTGTGGTTACTTCCGTCTCATCCCTTGCATTTACATTTGCACCATTTTCTACAAGATATTTTATTGCTTCTGCGTGACCTAAAGCATTGCATGAAAAGTTATCACATCAAATGTGATTAAAAAAAATTTCGTTTCTTAATCGAAAATGGTTCAAAATTACCATATTCAGCAGCCCAGTGGAGCGGTGTTCTTTTTTTGTTATCTTCAACATTTAAATCGGCTGCATGTTCATTTAGAATTTTAATTGTTTCCATTTGACCTGAAACGCAGTGCGCACAGAAACGGATAACAATATTCAATGTTTATATATTCAAAATTATATCAATATCAAATGATCCCCCTTAATTTGGAGCATTGAGTTACCTTTTTTAGCAGCAAAGTGGAGAGGTGTTACATTTTCGTTGTTTTCTGCATTCACGTTGGCTCTATGGTCGATTAAATACTTTATTGCTTCAATGCTGCCTGGAAAATATTAAATATAAATTATATTTAATATTTTATTTATTTGGGCCACTATCTCTACAATCGCTCGCAAAGATTAAATGGTTTTTGATTCGAAACAAGTATGAGAGATTTCTATTTTAACCCGAGTATTTATTTACCATTCTGAACAGCATAGTGAAGAGGCGATGAATTATTATTGTTTTTCGCATTCACGTTGGCCCTATGATCGATTAGAATTTTGATTGCCTTAATGTGTCCTAAAAATGATGAAAAAAGAGTTTAACTTCTTCTACAAATAATGTTTCTTCGTTCGACGCAATGAATTACCATTCTTCGCAGCGTAGTGGAGGAGCGTTCCTTCGCTACCAACTATAACATTTACATCGGCTCCCTGTTCAACTAGATATTCGACTGCTTTTGCGTTGCCTTAAATACATTTTTAATGTGATGAAATTAAATTTCGAATTCTTACTGATTCAAAGGATTTAATTACCATTTTCAGCAGCGTAGTTTAGCGGTGTCGATCGAGTACGATTTTTGGCCATTACATTGGCCCCATGTTCGACCAGATATTTGATTACATCTATATTACCTAGAGAGCATGCAAAGAGATGAGAATGAATCCCATTGAAAATAATTCTTATTTATTTGTAACGTTTAATTACCAATCTGAGCGGCATCATGTAGCAGTGTTACTTTACTATTGTTTTCAGAATTTACATTGGCTCCATGGTCGACAAGATACTTTATTGCTTCTATATTACCTAAAAAGCATGTATGGAAAATAATCAAATTAAACCCCGCCGAAAATAACTAGCTCTCAATTCAAAGTGTTGAATTACAATTTTTTATAGCATAGTGGAGAGGTGGAACCTCATATACATTTTTGGCATTTAAATCGGTACCATGGTCGACTAGATATTTTATTATTTCCAGATTATCTAAAATGCAGGATAAAATGATTCTTCAGTGAAAAGATCTTCGTAACATGAATGTTTTGAATAACCGCTCTGAACACCAAGGTGAAGAGTTGTGTATAGATCTGTTTCTGCAGTATTTATATCACTTCCATGTTCTGCCAGATATTTTAGTGCTTCGAAATTGCCTAAAAATATGGCATGTAATGAAAACTCCACTGATAAAAACACTTAATTCGAAGTGACGAATTACCGTTCCGAGCAGCATAGTGAATAGGTAGATATGCATACGATCCCGTGGCTTTTTGATCGGCTCCATGTTCGACGAGATATTTTATTGTTTCTAGATTACCTAAAAAGTACGGAAAGCGATAAGATGATTGAATGAAAATTATACCTCCTATTGTTATTACCATTTTTGGCAGCACGGTGGAGAGGATTTCCTCCCACGCTGTCTCCAGGATTTACATCTGCCCCATGTTCGACTAGATATTTTGTTGCTTCTAGATTACCTAAAAACATAAAAAATTTAGTCCCTTTTCTACTTGGTACCAAGTACACACATGTGACAATTCCGTGACGATAATTTATTATGGTTCTCGAAAAGCTAACATTTTCGATTAATATAAACTCATTACCTTAAATACACATTGGCATGTAATGAATTTGTAATCATACATTTACAACAGAGATTGGCTATGAAAATGTAATACACTGACTGTCATTCATTTCAAGCCAATGTGATGTGTAAGAAAATGGCTTTATATTGATAAAAAAAATGTCCGATTTTTAATAAATCAATATTGAGACACCTAAAGCTCTTGTCGCACCATTCAATCAGGTGAATGGCATATCATATAAAATATTTGCTTTGTTCAATTTTAAACTGTTTCAATTTTCGATGAAATTTGGATAGAAATGTTATAAAACTGTATTTCACTAGATGAAACTTTACTCCTGCACACAACATAGAAAATAAAAAGAAATCTATTGATTTTTATTTTTCTTGGCGGTGGCGTATTCATTCATTGCACTTAATTCACTGTTAAATATATTTTTTCAATTAATAAAAGGGAAAAATTACCATTCTCAGCGGCGTAATGAAGAGGTTTACGTTTCTCGTTGTCTTCAGAATTTACATTTGCCCCATGTTCAATCAGATACTTAATTGTGTCTGTGTTACCTGAAAATCAGTGAAAATGATATAAATTTAATAAATAGTAATCGAGTATCACTTGCGTTGTATATTGACAATGTATTTGAACGCGACTCGATTTAAGAAGCGCCATCTCTGTCACGCCAGGTTCTCATATATTTTTTTCTTGCAAATAAAATTGCAAAATTGTATAAATTGAATAAGTTTTGCAATAATAATAACGAAAATAATTAATAGAATTTATAATAAATAAAAAAATTGAAAAAAACACACAAATATTTTATATTATATGATATGTAGCTTTGCCTTGTAGACCATGTAGAGATGGTTACGTGGAGAAAATATCAGGCAATATATTGAATTAACTGGTCAGTTGAGCTGACAGTACGTTAGCCAGCTAAATGGGCTAAAACAATAGACGTTATTGTTTTAATGATGAATCACTTTTCTTTTTTTAATAGAAGTGATTGTTCATTATAACAATAACTTCTATTGTTTGAGTCCATTTAGCTGGCTAACGTACTGTCAGCTCAACTGACCAGTTAGTTCAATATATTATCTGGAAAATATGTATTTGTCAAACATTCATACCTGTCAAAAGAAACAACGTAAACAACACGAAGTGAAGCTATTCTGGTGAATCATATAATATAAAATATTTGTGTGTTTTTTCAATTTTTTTTATTTATTATAAATTCTATTAATTATTTTCGTTAATATTATTGCAAAACTTATTCAATTTATACAATTTTGCAAGAAAAAAATATTTGCAAGAAAAAAATATATGAGAAGCTGGCGTGAAAGAGATGGCGCTTCTTAAATCGAGTCGCGTTGAAAGCCGACTGTAAGTGATACTCGATAGTAATCATCGATTTTGATCCGAGCGGAATCAAAACCCAGTTTTCAATTTTTTTCGAGACACAATTCTCCGATTTCTCATTCCATTTCGTACTTTTCATCTGATTTAAAATCTTACCCAATTCGAAAAAGTGACACTAAAAATGTCACAACAAACAATATTCACACTGAATTTTGGAACACCATGTATTCTATGCACCATAATCTGTATACGCGTATATATTGTGTGATGAAAATTACCTGCTCTAACGGCACTAAACAGCTGTTGATCTAAACCAGTATCGGAACGTGCATTTCTCAATGCAACGCACAAAAATAGCAACACAAAAAAGTACTTCATTTCATTTATATTATGAAATCGCTGATTTTCAAGGGAGAAAACTCACTTCAAGTTTAATTCGTATTGACTTGCTATTTAAATACTCACTGTATTTTATAATAACTTTGCTTTCCTTCTCAATTTTACGAGATTTTTGATTTTTTACTTGGATCCTCTCTTCTTTTATGGGCGGACATCATTGATTTGAATTTTGATTAGAGCAAATACATTGGAATGTGTCGATGTGTGTGCTTTTTGAAAATGAAATGAAACAATCTTCTAGTTGACTTTAATAAATAAGATTACACTATCAATATTTTGAGAACTGGCGTCAATTCTTTGCCTCTCTCCACTATTCCAGTTATGACACTTCATGCATGCAAAAGTAGTCACAACAAATGCATATTTGCAATATTTTTCTGTTCCATTCTGACATTCAATGCTACGATTCACTCAAATAATCTTCAACTTAAATACTTGATCTTTTGATATAACTAAATAATACAATTCGGCGCATCAGTGGTCATGTGATGCATAAACTACTTTTTTCACTCAAAAACATGATTTTGAAACTAAAGTTTGTCTAAACAATTTATCCGAAATAAAATGAAAAACAAGTATAAATGCTGTGTGTTGCTGTACCAATTGAAATGATGTCAATAACTATTGAAACGATTAACATTTTACCGCTGAAATATTATTTCTGTTTCTCTTTATGCAATATTCAGTATATTGTAGTTGTTTTTTGGATTAGAGTGTTATAAATACGCTTTGGCACACAAATCAATGCAATTTCATTTTTTTTTGTACGAATGAGCACAGAGTAGTCAACTGATTAGAAGGTCACATTCGTTGCGATCAATTGTGCATGCTCGAGGTGTCATGAACTTTTTTTATCGAGAAGAGAAGGGGGCGATAGAAAGAGAATCGATATTTCTCGGTACATGTTTTCGAACGTAATTAAATCACAACCGGAATCATCGGCATATTATTTTCTTTTGAGACATTTCTTGTATTGATGTTTTTTTTTTATTCAGACAGTATACAATAAGAGAACTCTATCAATACTTTTGAATGTTATTATTTCATTCGAATTTATGATAAACATGTAGAGTAATTTAAATGTGGAATTTTATGAGTCAAAAGAATCATTTCAAGCACTGACATCTATTGAACAAATTATTAAGACTTTATTCGTAGTGGCCAAACGATGTATTCGATTGCCTTCATTTGAATAGGTTTGGTTTGGTTTTCAAAATTCTTGACAACCGAAATCAAATCACTACCAACTACCGATTTTCTGTAAAAAACGGCTTATTTTACGCTCTGGTTTAGAGAGTGTATGACATACACTGTATGTTACAAATCTATATTACGAGCGTAAAATAATTGGGATTTTGTTTGACTAACGATTTTGGTATATTTGGATTTAATTGAATTTGGTAACGCTGCGATAATGCCGCAGTATCGCTGCTGTAACGATTTTCATCCCCAACCTAGAAAAGGTCATTTCCGATGTGGGCGAAAAAATAAAAAACGAAATGTGATTCTTTTGTCTTTAACTCCTCCCGCCATTTTCAAGCAATCTTAATCACATTATGCACGCCTATAATTTGGATAAGATTTCGTGTTGATCGCCATGATTTTTTCTAGTCCATCATGGTCAACCATGCTTCAAGACGAATTTTTGATATTTAACAAAGAATGACCAATGTTTTTGAGTCTAGGTTTTTTTACCTTTAAAATTTCAAGTGAAATCCTATATCAAGTGAAATTGTACCACAAAAGGAAATAATTGTTTGCATTAATTTTATTCAATAAATATCTTCACCATTTCTATAGTTTCTTTAAATTTCTAGGGCTTTTTCTCAATGAACAATCAATATTTCTACATAAAGATGATATTGTTTTGTGGCTAAAGGTTATTCGGGTCGATTGGCATATAATTGATTGACAATACTTTCTTCGATCAATGTCGAAGTGTCTCCAATATTACGATCATTTACCGCAATTTTACGTAGTATACGACGCAATATTTTCCCCGAACGCGTCTTTGGTAGCCCGGGTGCATGATGTACTACGTCCGGTTGTGCATAAATATCCCTCACCCTCACCAACGACTTCAACGCCATTCCCATTCAATATTATTGGATTCACACCGAAAAATGGAAATCTCTATGGAAAATATACATGGACAAGCATTGAAAGATCCGATTCATAAGTTTGAATTTGAATAAGCAGAAAAATTGACATACTACAGATCCCGGTTTTATTTTCGTTGCACCGAACAGTGGGTCTTCAGCATCCAACCATTCCGGATGGCAAATCGTTTCAGCCTTTTCCATTTCATCTTTCCACCAAACATCACGATCATCATTCCATGATGCGACCGCTTTTACACTACCTGGGGTTACACGATTCAAATGCGCGACAACAATGCATTTCAAAACGTTATGCCCCATTTTCGCTGCTTTCTCAATTGCTTCATCGCAAATTGCTTTCATTTCTAATGGTTTTTCACCACGCCAAGCTCCGTCACTGGTGATCAAAACCTTTGCCTTACAGTCATCGATTTGGTCAGCCAACGAATGAGAGGAAAATCCAGCAAACTAGATGGGAAACATATCAATACAGAACAAAAAAGAAAATTTTACGCAACATTCATCATATTTAACTAATTAGTGCATCAATATAATAAACGAAGATAGACAGTATATAAGTAAGTAAGTACCACAATGGAATGTATCGCGCCGATACGTGTACATGCAAGTATTGCAATCGGCAATTCAAGAATCATTGGCATATAAATGGATACGGTGTCACCTTTTTGCACTCCATGAGACTTCAGTACATTGGCAAATCGACACACTTCTTGCAATAACTGCTTGTATGTTATTTGCGAATAATCATCCGGGTGATTTCCTTCCCTATTTATAAAAATAAAAAGCATCTCAATGGACTAAGTCACTTTCTTTTGCCAATTATTTACCAATAGTAGGCAACTTGATCGGCAAATCCATTTTTGACATTGCGGTCCAAAAGGTTGAATGACAAATTGGTCGAGGCGCCAGTCATCCATTTCGTGAAAATTGGACGTTTTCGAATGTCAAAATTGTATGAAAAGTAATCATCAGAATTTGCCTCTGTTTCCCAGTGAAATTGCTATGTGCCAAAGCAAGAATGGGGCAAAGTCTCTTAAACATGTTTTTATTATTGAGAATTATTCAATTGCATTCAGCCCCAATAGATTTCTTTTCAAACGTACACTGTGGTGCAAGTGTTCTTCGGTCTTCTGAAGGGTGTTTATTGGCTATAAAAGATGAAAGAGAACATTCAGAGCTATCATTTGGAAAAGTTTGATCAAAATCGTTGGCTTGCAATGAGCCTTGAAAGTGAACTTTGCCTATATCAGTATACATACACACTTCGAAAAGGTAGTTAAATCAATAGACTATATAATTAATCAACTTCTTTTCAACAAGTTTCAACGAGATTCAAAGTAACCAAACCTACCATATATTTTAAATTCGTATTTTCAAAATTGGTGGATTTTTTGTGAAATTAAAATATTTTATTACAGAGTTCAAAGCAAAATTCAAATTGACATATCTTTTTAAATGGACTTAATCAAAATAATAAACTTTTCCCCCATGTTCGCTTCTGTGATGACTTTTACGTTTTCCAAATCAGTCACATCGTTATTTTTTTAACCGCTGCTCGTAAGAATATTTCAATTCATAGATCTTTGGATACATTTTCTCCTTGTATTTTTTTGCACCAAATGCATCGTAATCACTGTATTTGTAAAAGTATTTGTCATTTATATTCATATATTTAAATGTGATTAATTGATGAAAGTAAAAAATATAATCAGTGAAGAATCTTACGCCAAAATTGCCAAAACTTCATCTCTGTTGAGCATATAATAAAAAAAACTCGAATTATGTTTTGAACAAATTAAAATGTGATTCTATAAACTGAAAAATCTTACAATTTTGCCAATTTCTCTTCTATACTTATTTGGTAGCTACATTGCGCATAGCTTCAGTATAGGCATTCAAAAACAAAAAAAAAATTATAAAAAGATTAATAAAAACTCAGAAAAATGTAAAAACCTCACGACGCTCTCTGGCTTAATACGGATAAAAAATCGTTTCTATTTTTTTTACTACTGAATGTAGTTTTTTTTAAATTTTAATTGGATATGCGTATACTCACAGCGAACTCATGCGATCCAATTTTTGAGCATTTGTTAAGGGTTGAACACCACCAGATGGGGTTCTAAAATATTGAATGATTGAGTATTTAGTAAACAAAAATGTAAAGATTCTATATATTTTTCGTATTTATCTCATAGACTCTGTACAACTATTTGAATTGCGCAAAATTGCAGATACTTAGCTAAACAGTTCGATCGCTACAAAGCCAATAGAATATCAGCTATTCACTGAATTGTGAATTGAGTAACAATTGTAAAAAAAATAAAAGTACTAACCGTGAAGTACTGGCATCGTCCTTTTTGCTATAAAAAAAGTGCGCAATTAAAAAATAAAGAGACAATTATGAATGAAAATGAAAATGAATTATGAATATAAATTTAACATTATGCCAATAGTTCTCAATAATTACAAAAGAATCATTAAAATACAAACCGTGGCTTTCCGGCATCAGCTGGTCTGTAAATAAAATGCATAATTTTTAGAGAAACGTAAAAAACCAAACCAACTTAAAAAAAATAATAAATTTAAAAAATAAAAACTCCTAGAAAAACTCTTAATTATGATGAAACTCTAACACGTAAAATTTTACTCGAGTAACCTTTTTTGGTTTCGAATGAACGAAAATTTTGAGATAAATTTACACGAACGATTTCGTATTACTGAATTCATTTCTGTAAACCCTATCAAATTTTTCTTTGTACTTACATAGTCACGACGACCAAGGCAATAAGAGCAAGTACGAAAAGTTTGCGGGAAAGAACCATATTGTCTGCTTCAAGAATAATTCTTAAAATGAACTTAATTCTCGAACTGACTCGACTCTATATTTATACTAATTTTTTACACCATAGATGAGAGCAGAAATTCCAAATGTTGTCTACTGTTTCTATAAATTATTTCATTCAAATTAATTTTAGCAAATGTCAATAAAGAATATTCTTCATTTTCCACACGTGCAATAACAATTTTTAAAAACATATAAATACTTTTGCTAATGGCTTCACAAACACATGTGTTTTAACATTTGTAATCGTGGAAAATAAATGTGGCGCCTAAAAATATTGTTCTCGATATATGTATTTTTAAACCTTTTATCGCAGATGCAAAAGAGAAATTTCATTCGATAAAACTTGAGTCAAGTGATTTTCAGTGGCGATCTTTAAATATTCACAATTATCCGAAAAACTTCAGAAGATTTCCTTGATCTCTCAATCATTCGAAACGATGCGTTTCTTAGCCAGTTCGACTATTCAAAAAAATTTGGTAATAGACACGTGTTTTTACTTTTCATCCTGTGTTGTGTATGTAAAGTATTGTAATGGGGCCTACATTTAAAAAACCTAAAAATATTCAGAGATTATGATATTGACCGGTCACCACTTTAACATAAAATTTTGCGGAGGTGGTATTTCTGTGAACATAACGCACAACGACAGTGTTGGTGATGCGCATAAAATGATGCAAACATTGATGTGTGCTATTCCGAATACTATTTTGGCGTAAAAGTTCGTCTTACACTATAAGTCTTTATTTTTGGGTTTTTATTTTTCTCGAAAATACCTCGAAGACATGTTTTAAACACAATAGTTTTTTTTTATCAAATGCAGCGTCACACCTAGCAAAATAATTCATGTTTGTATAAAAAAAATACATATATGATAGCAAGTTGCTATTAGCAACTATCTTCTATAATTTTCCACGTGTTGTTTTTTACTGAATTTCGTTTATTTTGAAGATACGTTACAAAAAAGCAGGCATAAGCATTATAAAATTAACCTTGAAGTCACCATAGTGATACAATTCGAATAAAACTTTTTTTATATTTCAAAGATTCATATCAACGTATGTTGAAACGTGTTAGAACATTAAAAGAAATATTTACAAGATTATTCGACAAATTGTCAATGTTTTAAATAAAAGCCAAAGCCTGTCTGTTGCAATGTCTATCTTGTACACTTAATAAGAACCATGAAAATAAGTGTACCAAATGAATTTCTCTGTGGCTTTTTTATCGAAAAAATCACTATCCCCTGTTTATGTCCAACTACCAATTTTTTCAAATCAATTATAAAGCTTAATGAGGACCCTGCGCCTTAGGGATGACCCTGATTGTAGACTATGTGGTAGAGAAATGGAAACTACTTCTCACCTCATATGCAGATGTTCATTATTAAATGATCTAAGGGGTGAATTTCCACAAACAAATAAACCCAACATTTTTGACATATTACACTTCTACAAAAGGTCATGTGACTCAAATCCAAGCCCGAAGCACATTTTCTGAACAACAGACTAATGATTTGTGTAAAAAACCTGAGCAACGAGAACTATGGATTTTACTGAAAAGTTGACCTAGTATACTCCCTGCACAAATCCAATATCCAAGGTTTAATAAATAAAAAGTAATGATCCAATGAAATCTGAATTGGAAGAAGAAAAATTTAATCGCGTTTTATCGCATCCATTTTGGCTACCACTTTCTAGACTATCCTTTGCTTCATCCTTTCGTTATTATCATGAGAATTGGCACACAAAAAATTCCACAATATTTCACCGAAACTGCATCCGTAAGATACAAATTACCAATATATTTGATTTTGTGTTGGTTTTTTTTTTTAAATTACAGTTCAACGATTTCATCGTAAAATATATCGATCGTGGGAACATTAGTTTTTGAATTACCAATCATTGAAATTGAGAAAATACGACTCAAGAAAAAGGCACTTAGTATAATTATTGAAATTGTAAATGGAATTAAACAAACTAGTAATAAACAAACAAGTACAAAGTAACAAAAAATGCCATTAGTGAAATCATTATCATACGGAATCGTATGCTTAAAATATTGCTTGAGCTAATTTTATAATATAAGCATTATTATATATTATACGGTTTCTTATGTTCATATGTTTTTCAGTCCACCTGAAACTTCAATTTTATTTTATAAATTGTTTCAGATTAAAGTAATTTTTCGGGATATATTTGGCCTACTCCTTCTTAGGTCAATCAAATATTTTGTAGATCATAATATTTCACAAAATAAATGAAACCCTATTTTTAACAATAATACAAGCGCTTCAATGTTCATGTGATGCATAAATCGTTCGATCATTCTACTGCTGAAATATACTGCATTAACACTCACTGTTTCCAAGGAAATGTCTGTTTCTTTCAAATGCAATGTAGTGGAATATATTAGTTTTGTTTTTTGTTTGAGTAGTGTGTTATAAAATGGGGGCTTAATACGGCAAAAAAATTCACAGGAATTCACGTAAATTCATACTTTTGAATCGAGTGGTTATTGATGAGTTCGGTGAATTCGTGTGAATAGAATGAAATGTGTCAAATTAATAAAGTGAGGTTATGATAACCGCAATATTTTTTAATTTATTTTATTTTTTTCAATATTTCCGATTGTTTTCGATAGAAAATCGCTCAAAATTGAAAATAAAATTAAGTTTTATAAAAAAAATATAAAAAACATTTACAGTTTTGTTACACAAAATATAAATATTGCAGTAATTGCCAGCAGAAACTATTATAACCGTTATCTCATATATTTGAATGAAATCGCCGTGGAATTCACTGGAATTCATTCGTTTGCTGAAAAATTCAGTTAATTTAGATATTATTATAGAATTCAGTCGTTGAAAATTTTGAATGAAGCCCCTTAATAAATACGGTTTGGCACACAAATCAATGCAATTTCTTTTTTTGTATGAATAAGTAACGAGTAATTGAATACTCTAGAATAAAAACAGTATATTATACAGTTTCATATCAAAGCGAAACAAGAAAAAAAACTTGCTTGGAAGTAACCGATTGACTGGCTAGCTGAAATCAATTGATATGGTAGTCAGTAAATAATTTTGCATATACGAGATTGCTGCTTTTATTTTAGAGCATTTAATTATATGAAGGTCAGACGCACATTCGTGGCGATTACTTTTGCATACTTGAAGTGTCATGAACTTGTTTTATCGAAAGAAGGAGGGGTTGTAAGAAAGAGAATCGATAATTCTTGGCACATGTTTTCGATCGTAATTAAATCATAACTGGAATTATCGGCAGACTATACTATTTATTATTTATGAGAGTTTCTTTTGAGACATTTCTGTATGACTACAGTCGGTTTTATCTGTTGATACTTCAGTTTCTTCCCCCCTATATACTGAAGAAAGCACAAACAAGTTGACTGCCACCTCGAAAATACATTAATTCATTTTTTTCTAAACGTGAAAACATGTGTATGTGTCGAATTCTTACATGTATTACAATCACAGATATGAGACGCAAACTACTTATTAACTCGAAAAAAATTAGATTTCATTAATTTGTTGTTCGTATTTATTATACGCTGCTTAAAAGACAACTACAAAATATTCTACTGAATTGCGTTAGAAAGAAACGAAAATTGCAAATAAAGACCTCATTTATTCGTATGCAAAATTATTCAATGCACAACGACTTATATTTTATAGCCGCTTTGTGAATACGATTTGATTAGTCACCATAATTTTGGACTTTTTTCGAAATCGATTTTTTAAATTTTTCGGACAATTTTAAAATTTCAAGTTTAATCACAAAAATAAATAAGTGATCGTGCATGATATTATTGTGTGTGAATGATTGAATATGTTTGATGATAACCCGTTCTCAACAAATTGCCATCGGTTTTGTGTGTATGTGAGTCAATGCCAAAGATATCGAATGAAATGCAATGGATGCTTTGAAAACCACATTCTGATTGTGCGGAAATGACAGAATATTCATTTTAAATTCCATAGACGCTCTCTCTACCTCTCTCGGTACTTTTCTAAATATTAAACATGTGAAAATCAGGAATAGTGATTGACACAAAGTCGAACTGAACACATCAGCCAGAATAAAAGTAAGACAAAGATGTTTTATACTGAATTGTCTATCGCTTTATTGTGCTTTATCGGTTTTGGACGTGCACGTAAGTAATATTGTGATTAGAAAACTGCGTATTTATTTGAACCGAAGATTAAAAAGGAGAAAGGTTAAAAATGGATAAAAGATTATGAAATGTCAGGGCCATTTAAAATATGTCTTGATCAAAAAGTGTTTTTCTTTCTTCTTGATGTATATTCATTGCATCTAACCCGCTTTGCTTCACACACATAAATTGTTGTTTTATTTAATTCCCCAGCCAATTAAATTTCGTTTTGGAAAGAAATGTTTTTTTTTTACTACACACAGAGAAATATTGCAATAAAAACTAGATGGCTTGTCGTAATGTTTTCTTTGTAAAATTTCTCTGTGTGTATTGTTTCTTCTATTGTCAGTTTTTGTCCCCTATTTATAAAATACGAAAAAAAGTGACCGACAAAATGTTTGTTTCTCTCAAAAAATTCAGAAAATCAGTGTGCAACGCCAGGTGAAAAGTGTGTCGATATACGCCAGTGTTCCGTTCTTGATAATTTAATAAAAAAACCAAATCTATCGGATGCTGAAATAAAACTAATAACTGATAGTCAGTGTGGTCACATCTTTGGCTATCCATGGGTAATTTTGGATAAAACTGTTTTGCGTTCCCAATCATAACACTTTAACAAATGCATTTTAGGTTTGCTGTCCGTTAGCCATTCCAACACCAAGGCACGCTGCAGTCGAATTACCTAAGCCAGGTGTTTGTGGAAGTCAAATAGGTTAATAAATTTTCAAGATATTCGCATTCATGTATGATTTTATCTTTAATCTTTTTCAATATTTCATCTGATCAGATCCTCGTATCGTTGGTGGTGAAACTGCGCGAATAGATGATTTCCGTTGGATGGCTTTAATCGAATACACATTCGGTATAGAACTAACTCAAATTTAATTTGATGTTTACGATATTTTCATGACTTTTATTTCTCTGACAGCAAATGGCCGCAAAGGGTTCAGATGTGGTGGTATTCTTATAAATGAAAACTATGTCTTAACAGGTACCTGGTACATACTAAATAATAAGATCACATTGAATTCTACAATATTTACATTTTCGTTTTATTTAGCATCGCATTGTGTGAATGGCAAAGCTTTGACACAATATCATTGGACCCTATCAGGTTGGAAAGAAATGATTTCAAATGAAAATAAAATTTTCCAATTAAAATAATTTTGCAATTTTTTGTTCGACATCAAAAGGTGTACGGCTTGGCGAATGGGACACTACAGAAGATAAGGATTGCGAAGAAGGCCTTTGCTCAGATCCAGTTCAAAATGTTCGTGTGGCAGAACGCATTCCACATGAAGATTATAATCCAAATTCGGCATCACAAGAAAATGATATTGCTCTGTTACGTTTGGAGCGACCGGTGAACTATACACAGTGGATTAAACCCATCTGTCTTCCAACATCGAATGACGTGGCTGATAAAAACTTTGACAGACAACAATTGATAGTGGCCGGGTGGGGTCAAGCAGATGTAAATGCCATTTTAGTATCATCATTTCGCTTATTTCATTTTATTTTGTTTAATTTTATTTTCGGTTTTCTTTTCAGAATGGTATGTTTAATGCATTTTCTATGCAATGCATTTCGACAATGATTGATGAAGAAAGTAGTTAAAAGTTTTCATTATTTTTTTGGAATAAATTATTTCCAGGCCAGAGCAGTGATCGAAAGATGAAAGTTGGCGTAAATGGCGTTTCATTGAATGAGTGTAACTTAAATAATGTATATCGTCGACAAGGTATTACTTTGACCAGCAAACAGCTGTGTGCTGGCGGTGTGAGAGGAAAGGATTCGTGTAATGGTATGTAATTACCATCGATGTCATTTAAATTAAGCAAACTGAAATCATAATGTTGTTTCTGTTGCAAATAGGTGATTCTGGTGGACCGTTGATGGTAAAGCATGCACGTGATTCAGATCACATTGATTATTACTTGGTAGGTATTGTTTCTTTCGGTCCAAAACCTTGTGGAATGCGAGGAGTGCCAGGAGTGTATACAGTACGTAGACAATCGACTTTTATCCATTTTCACAATTAACATTTAATGTTTGTTCTAACAGAGAGTTGACCAGCACATGGATTGGATTAAGGCCAACATTAGACCATAATCGCACAATGATGATAAAATCTAGGCAGATAAATAAATGTTCTGTTTTCAATGCACCACAGTTATTGCCGTTTGAAACTACATTGTCTTTTTCTTGGCAAATACATAGTCAAATAAAGAGCCACTTTTATCGTTTCTATTCTGTAACATTTGTTTATTCATTTTCGAAAGAAATGAAATATATGTACTAATGAAAACGATAAGGTGATATCCATTTACGTATGTGCAAAGTTCAATTGTCAATATATTGTTATATTGATATTTTCTCATAGCAAACCAAAAGAATTTTTTTCTCATAAAAAAATAATTTACACTCGAAAATTTTAACACTCATCAAGAAACCAGTTGAAATCAATATTTATTTCACATTTTTTAAAAAATTATTTATGATTAAGTAACTCAGAACGTTTTCAAAATACGTAAGAATAATGATGGATTTGCCGTTGCATTTATCGGAGATTACTATACTGGACACTTTTCCATATGGTGTGCGCAAAATTTCATATTGAAAAATTACATTTTTGGTTATTGGTTAATATTCATTTTATATATTGATGAAATTTATATAATGATCCACTATTAAGCAATGAGCTATCAGTAACAGAAACTTAACACACGTTATCTGCACACCATACGGAAATCCATCTAGGGCTGAGAGCAACAAAATTCAATTTTTTTTGGCGGCTAGTCTAGAGTGTATGGCTCTATCTGATCAATTTTAGTGGCCAAACTAAAAATCTAACTAACTTTTTTTTAAATTGTTTCTTAGTGGTAAAACAATGGATTCAATGAAGTAGTCCACGCGAGTAAAGATGGTTGGAAAGTTCCAAAGTTCCACAATTTACCAAATGAAGCAATGCCAACTATAGTTGCTCTGCTTGAATTACTGCCTCATTTTTTTTCTGTTCAATCGTCTGACATTCATACGACGCGCAAACTTGTTTTTATCTATAATTTTCATTGTTGATCTTTTGACATAGTTGAATAATGCAATTCAATGCTTGAACGTTCAGTACAACCCATGCGATACATAAAGTATTTGTTAAAAACAAGTATAAATGCTGGGCCTTTCCCAAGCGATAACGATTGAAACGAGTTTAATGGTTTTGTTGCTGGTCTGTTTTCTTGGCAATTTTTTGTTTCTTTCTAACAAAATATATAATATAAATATGCTTTGGCACACAAATCACTACAATTTCAAATTCTTTGTATAAATAAAGCAGTAATGTGCGAAAGGGGGTGGAAGGGGAGGGTTAACACCCTGTAATTTCGATTAGAAAATGTTTTCGCGCGGAAATTATTGGAATTTGCTCCGGTTTTTGATTCTAAAAGTGGAGACCTTTTTTAGCTCTTCTTCTTATGTTGAGGTGTTTTTTAAAATCAATTTTGTCCGGCTGGGATCAAAAACCTCCTTTTTCCCAAAATCATCACCCCTCCTATAAAATTTTGCCTGCGCGTTACTGAAATAAACAAAGAGTTACATAAGTCGAATCAGTCATACGATCAAATTATCATTCTTCGCATTTTTAGTTGAATATTATTAAAAATACAACAGAATTGAGAATACTATGTTACATTTTTCATTTAAAGTTATGACGAATACAATTAAATTCTGAAATTAAACAACAATATTTCTTTTATTTTTTTTTTATTTACACGGAAAATATCAAGTGTCAAAGTTTTTGATTACAGTAAAACCTTTCTACAACGTAATCGCGTGGATATGTGAAGGTTTTCCACCATTGAGAGTTTCCGCTATAGATTGATTTGACTGTATTTTTAAAAGAGCAAATGTTATCTTCTTAATTCACATTAATTGAATGCAATAGTACTATAGCAACGAGTGGCTTGGTTATTGCCGTTGGTATGATTGTGTGCTTAAATGATTCAATTTCATTTCCTCATCAACCCAATCTCTGAAGAAGGAAACATCGACATAAACACCTGAAAATGAATGAATAATCGTTAAAAATAAAACTAAAAATGGAAGAATAAAATATAAACAAAAGAACCGACCTGGTGTCGAGCCGCCACATCCAATACCCCAAGCCACGATACCTTTACAAAATAATCGAGCAATTGATTCAATCATCTCATTTTTAGAGAATAAATCCATGCAATACTGACCTGCTTGTACATATTGACCTGGTGAATTTTTGACAGGACAAACCAGCGGAGAGCCTCCATCACCCGTGCATGTGTCGCTGCCGGGTTCGCCACCGGCGCACATATATGAATTATGCAATTGAAAATTACCGCCAAGTCTTGTTCTTCGTAATTTTTCAGCACATGTATCGCTTGAAACGACTGGCAATTCGACTCGTTTTAAAATCACTTGATATTTGCCCTCTGCACCGAATTCATTTTTACCCCAGCCCGTACTTATGCAGCGAGATTCATCAAAATTTTCATTCGCATACGGCAAGCAAATGGTATTTACCGATATGGTAATATCAAATGGTTGCATGAGAAATATAAGTGCAATGTCATTGTAGAGGACACCGTGAAGAAAACCACGGCGATAGCCCGGATGAGTTGTAATGCGGCGTATAGATCTATCTTGATATGGATGTGGTTCGCGTGTGGTTTGTGTATCCCATTCACCCGCACGAATTTTCAACGATTGTGAGGTCTTTCGATCGATACAGTGTGCGGCGGTTAGAACCACACTCGGATGAATCAATGAACCACCGCAAACATATGGATTCGTTGTTTTTTCTTCCATTATGGCCACCATCCAAGGAAATTCTCCAAACTTTTCGGTGAAGATCATTGATTAAATTACGTAAGTAACTTCAATAATTGTAAGCATATTGATTACTTTACCTTAGATTCCATGTTATTGTCACCAGTGATATTGAATCCAACGCCATTACTATTACGAATTCCGCATCCGACGCTTGGACATGCGATTGGCTTTGTTGATATGATCGCAGCCAACGAACAACAAATTTCAAGATAACTCGAACAAGGATGCTTTTTGGTATCTAAACGAAGATCAACTGTATTTTCACCATTGTCACAATGGTCTATGAGTACACACTCACAGGGCTAAACAAGGACAACAGACACATCAAAGACATTGAAAATTCATTTAAATGTTGTGGATATGGTTTACCGGAGATGAAGTCGAAGTTGAAATTAAATTTTCTCCACCTAGACAGCAAACATCTATTGCATTTGGGCAAGCTTGATCCATTTTTGATTGTGCCGGTTTGCATAGTTCATAAGATACACATGTGCAATTTTCTTCAGTTATGGTGGGCGTAATTGGTAATATTGATGTTACTTCATTTGTTTTCGAAGTAAAAGAACTCTTCAAGAGATTAAGTATTATATGAAATTAACTTTTAAGCATACTTGAATTTTCATTGAGCAAAATCATAATTCGAATATTGTAATCGACTGTGAAAAAAAAGCGTTTAAAGAATTCCAATTGGCTCAAAAATCGTTTTTACTATCCACACTGAATGAGGAAAAATTACAATGATAAAATATATATAATAAAAAACTCTGAACTACCCCAGCGCTTGGAGTTGGTTGCGTTGTGGATTCTGTTGTGTATTGCGTTTCGGGCATTGTTGTACTAGGTGTTTTAAACAAACTCTTAAGTCTGTCAATATAGGTCTCATTCGACACCGTATTTTGTTGTGGTATTGCATTCGCACCATAGATCACATTTGAAATAATTACACAAATTACGAAATTTATCTTCATGTTTGGTGTTTATTATTTAGCTCTTAATTGAAAATATTTTTTTTTTATTCAATTCTTATTTCATCTGCTCTCGAATACACACAGGAAAGCACTGATCACAATTAAACACTTTGCCACTCTATTCGATTCGAATTAAGCTCTCTTGAAGATATAATTAATTCGCAAGCAATTGGAACAAACATTGAAATAGCACACACTTTGATTCAAATGAGATATGTGAAGTTGAACCGAAGTTAAAGTAGACAACAATAAGTGGTGATCGTTATTATTTTCATGATTGAAAATTAGAATATAAAAGACGTCAAGACCGATGTGTAAGGGTCACAGATTAAAAAGAAAGATGTAAAGATCGAAAAAAGATTGAAACTATGCCGATCGAATGAGTTTATTAGAGTAATCAAAACGAATATGCAAATAATATTTGCTTTCTCGTATCCGACCTTCAAATTCTTTATCATCACACAATTCTGATTCCTAATCGACAACAAATCAGGTTTTGTGTTTACAATGTATGCGTATATGTCATTATCAATGATATGTTATAAAATGCATTGAACGCTTTGTAGAATATATTTTAAATAGTTTGATTCACTCATTCAGACAACAATAAATCCACTCTATTCTCTCTCTCCGTATTTTTCAGTGTCTGAAAATCAGGCAAACTGCTTGCCACGAAGTCGAAATCAACACCGCAATCACAACGCATTAAAACAAAATGCAGCTTTACATTCAACTGTGTATCGCACTAATGTGTTTAATCGGCTTGGGAAGTACACGTAAGTAATCGTAAGTGAATAAATTAAGTGGGTGAGCGTTCATTTTAAAACGTTGTTTGAACGAGAAAAAAATATGAACGGGAAAGAAATGAAAGAATGACCATAAAATGATCTTTGGATCAGGGAAAAAATTCCGAGTCCAAAAACAAATTGTTTGAAATTTGTGGATATTTTTGGCTGAAACTATTTGTACTGGTTTGGATCTGATCGATAGCACAATCAATGTACAAACGTTCAAGAGTCTGGCTATTTTCGATATATGTTAAAAAATGCTCCGAAAGCGCTCAATTTGTAAAAAATATACAGTGTGTAGTGTACCTGTACATATTACAATTTGTTTTTTGAGTTGCAAATCTTTTTCCCAAATTTTGTCTTTTTTCTGGTTAACTTATTTTTACTTTTCCGCACACACCTAGTGTGAAAGGGGAAAGTATTGCAATAGGTCAAAATTTACGAAACCTCAAAAACATGTTTTCTGGACGTTTCTGAGGTCAGAGAACCCGAATCAGGCCGTTTTGAGCATGGTTGTTGTGGGTCGCTTCCACGTCGTACGTCGTACGTCGTACGTCGTACGTCGTACGTCGTACGTTGTCCGCCGTACGCAAAATTTGTCCATCGATTTTCTCACCACCCAGAAAAGTTATTTGAAATCTGACTTCACGGGATGATTGGGGGTCCCCAGGAATAGAAATCATCAGATTTTGAGTGACTTTGGTTGAAGGAAAAAAATTCCATGCCTGGAATGATACCTATGGAAAAAAGACCAATTTTCGTCCAAAAGCACGAGAAAACCGAATCCGACGTTAGTTTTGAGATACAATCAATTTTTAATACAGTTTCCTTGAAAAAATCACAAAAAATTTGGATTTTTGTATGGGAGCCATGCCTGTATGCTACCTTAATGACGTGAAACTTTGCACAGACTATTTTTTACACAAAAGTATAACATTCTGAAAATTTGAAGAGATTTCAATTAAAATTAGGGGTACCTCCCATACAAAATTTTCAATTGGCTCAAAAACGAATATTTTGTATGGGAGGTACTCTTGATTTTGGTTGAAATTTCTCCAAACCCTCCGAATGTTATTTGTGAAAAAAAATAACCTGTGCAAAGTTTCACGCCATTAAGGTAGCATACAGACATGGCTCCCATACAAAAATCCAAATTTGTTGTGACTTTAGTTATGAAAAGTGTTTCAAAAATAATCTTTATGGCAAAATTAACGTCAGACATATTTTTATAGTATTTTGTTAGAAAATAGAATACTTTCAAATGTCGTACAAATGGGTTCATCATGAAAGTGTGAAAAATCTTTTCTCGGGTACTTCTGCTATTAAATTAAAGAATATTTCGTTGCCAAAGTTGAAAAATATTTTTTGGTCTCGAACTTTACGCCGCTTGAAAGACTTGAAGAATCGAGCAAATATTATTTTGAATTTTCTTAATAAAATACGCAACTACCACCGTGCGGAAAAGTTCGTCTTACTCCCGTAAGACTCTTTATTTAAAAGTAAAATATATATATGTATATCTTTATTTTAATAAATATTTTTGTCGTAGATTTATGAGAAGCGACCTTTTTATCGACAAAATGCTATTGTTTACTTCTTTTTTCACCAATTCAGAAGAACAGTGTCCAACGCCAGGTGAAAAGTGTAAGGATTTGCGCCATTGCCCCATTCTTGATAATTTGTTGAGACAAGCACATTTATCGGCAGCGGAGAGAAAATTCATAACTGATAGTCAATGTGGACACTTTTTCGGATATCCATGGGTAATTTTGGATAAACCCATTTTGCATTCCGAGTTATTACACTTTAACGAATACATTTTAGGTTTGTTGTCCCTTAACCATTCCAACAACAACGCCCGCTGCAGTCGAATTACCTAAGCCAGGTGTTTGTGGAAGTCAAATAGGTTAATAAATTTTCAAGATATTCGTATTTCTGGAGGATTTTAACTTTATTTTTTTTTTTTTTCAATATTTCAATAGATCCTCGTATCTACGGTGGTGAAATTGCGGCTTTGACTGATTTTCCTTGGATGGTTTTAATCGAATACACATTCCGTATAGAACCGACTCAAATTCCATTTTATTTTTCTACATTTTTATGATATATGTTTTCCTCTTGCAGCAAATGGCCGCAAAGATTTTGGTTGTGGAGGTGTTTTAATCAATGAGAACTACGTTTTAACAGGTACATAATAAACGTTGAGATTGCATTGAATTCTATAATCGTTTTTTTTTTTGCTTAAATTTCTAAAGCATCGCATTGTGTGAATAGCAAAGCTTTGGTAGATAGAAAATGGATAATATCAGGTTGGAAATAAACCATTTCAATAGAAAATTAATGAAAATAATTCGATAAAATAATATTTCAACTGTAGGCGTCCGGCTGGGTGAGTGGGATGTAAAATCACAAAATGACTGCGAAGAAAACCTTTGCTCAGATCCTGTCCAAAATGTTCGAGTGGCTGAACGTATTCCACATGAAAATTATAATCCAAATTTGGTAAAATCACAAAATGATATTGCTCTGCTACGTTTGGAGCGACCGGTGAACTATACACAGTGGATTAAACCCATCTGTCTTCCAACGAATGACGACGTGGCCGATAAAAACTTTGCCGCAGTTCCATTGATAGTTGCAGGTCAGCATTTCGTTTTGAGTTTTTTTTATCATTTTAATTTTTCTTCCTCTTTTTGGAAATATTTGGAGTTGAAATGACATTTGGTTTCATTCACGATGCACAATTTAGGATGGGGACAAACGGAGGTATTATAATCTCAATTTTGTATTATCATTTCGATTTGTGTTTAATTTTATTTTCGGTTTTCTTTTCAGAGTGGTATGTGTATTTTCAAAAAAGTGCATTGCTTAATCATATTATTTGTAAAAAAAATTATTGTTTTATCACTGTTGAATGAAAATTATCCCCATATAGGTTCAAAGAGTGATAAAAAGATGAAGCTTAAGGTGAATGGCACTCCTCTGGATTATTGTAATATTAAATATCATACTTTGACCAGTACACAACTATGTGCTGGCGGTCAGACAGGAAAGGATTCGTGTAATGGTATGTAATTACCAAAGATGTCATTTAATTTAACGAAACTGAATTTTTTTACTGCAAATAGGGGATTCTGGTGGACCGTTGATGGTAAAGCACTCAACTGATTCAACACACAATCACTATTACTTGGTAGGCCTTGTTTCATTCGGCCCAACACCGTGCGGGCAGCCCGGATGGCCAGGAGTATATACAGTACGTAATCGATTCGTTTCTAACAATTTTCACAATTCACATTTACTTTTTGTACAAACAGAGAGTTGATCATTACATGGATTGGATTAAAGCTAACATCAAACCATAGATGTCTCTCTTTGACGATCGAACTCAACGAGATCAATCATTTTTTTCAGTGAATTTTTCTTTACAAATGTAGTCAAATAAATTTTAATAAACAATAATAATAATCCAAATTCAAGGCCGTCAGTTAGATGATGTTTTAGTTGATGCAGAAAAATGAAAGCGCTTTTCTAAAGATAAACTTTCATCGTTTATTTCTCATTCATTATTTTCTTACATTTGATAAATGACTGTTTGTGTGATTTTAAACAGCGTTCTGTGCTCATATCAATAAGCGACTATCGCTATGTGTGATACGCACACAAGTAAGGTTTGTACGCAGCATAAATGCGATCAAAATATCAGTGGTTCCATATATTTCGCATGCATTTGCTCTTTATTCAAAAACAATTACCATATATGTATATAATGTTGATTATAGTGTAGTTACATCCGTAAGTCTAACTTTTTTCGCACTGTTTCCAAATTTTTTCCATTACCGATAACTACCAAATTCAATGACTAATTATGAAACCATTGACGTAATAAACAAGTCAAAATATATGTATCCTTATGATGACACGTTTCTTCAGTCAATTTTTAGTCATTTCAAATCACATTGTGTGTTTGCGGAAAAGTAATAGTGTGAAATTTTTTATAACATTTAATAGCATTATATTTTTTAAATTTGTTTTCATTAAATAAACGTATGCGATTAGCTACTGACATTCAAGTGCGAACTAAAAGATGTGAGTGCCAATTGATGTGATCAGTGATCAAAACGATTTTTTGTGATAAAGGGCGTTTCTTACCAGCTTCAGGATATTTTTTTGTAAATAAAACCCTATAAAGCATCTATACTGGCTTCACGTTCGACTAGATATTTGATTGCTCTTGTCCTAGCCATGAAACATGAAATTAAACTTCCAACATCAAATATCGCCGATTTGAATTCGGTTAAAAAATGCCTGGTTACCATTCTGAGCGGCATAGTGGAGAGGTGTTTCATTTTGGTAGTTTTTCGCCCATACACTGGATCCATGTTGGCCTAGATATTCTACTACTTCTACGTGACCTAAAAAATGCATAGAAAGCAATGACATCAAACTTCATTTAAATTGAATTCTATTCTCAATTTAAAAAGTGTATAATTACCATACTCAGCAGCAAAGTGGATAGGTATTCTCCACATGTTATCACTGTCGTACACATTAGCTCCATGTTCAACTAGAGTTTTGATTGTTTCCATATCACCTAAAAAGCAAAGCAACGGATGAATCAAAATGACACCCCTTAATTTGGAGCATTGAGTTACCTTTTTTAGCCGCAAAGTGGAGAGTAGTACATTTGTCACTGTCTTCAGCATTTACATTCGCTCTATGGTCGATTAGATACTTTATGGCTTAAATGTTGCCTAAAATGAATAAAAAATGATCAAGTTTATTTAGAATCAGTTAAAAAAATTATATGCTTTTTGATTCGAAATAAATTGTAAGAAGCGAGAATTGTTTTTTACCATTCTGAACAGAGCTGTCAACGAACACCAACGAACGAACGGTTCGTTCGTTCGTAGTCATTTTTATTGAATTTTTGTTCGTTCGTTCGTTCGTAGAAATGAATTGCGTTCGTTCGTTCGTTCGTAGAAATTAAAATGTTCGGATTGTTCGTTCGTTTGTTCGTTCGTTGTTCGTAGGAAAAGTATGAAAATAAAATAATTATTTTTTTAGTGAAATTGAAAGTAGATTATATTTTGTGAATTTTGGTATTGAAAACATAAATTATAAGAAAAAATTGAACAAAACAAAATAATATTATTTATTTGAAATAAACAGCGTAATAATCAATATAGTAATTAAATTTGCATTTTAAAGGGACGTATGAGTTGCATAAACTTTTTAATAAAAAATCCGAAAAGAATCAATTTTAAACATGAATATTTGGAAAAATAGTCTGTTCCGTAATATCGATGCCAACTAATAAAATGAATTGAAGCAAACAATTTCAACTATTATTGTAATATTCTAATTGAGGACTTTTTCCAACTATTCAAGAATAAAATTCTATCCAACTATAGGTAAAAGAATGTATATTTTCTATAGTCGATAATTTTATTATGATTTATTGAATTATTATTTTGGAAAAAAAAATCACAAAATCGATTACTAATGTTACTTGCTAACAGCAAATTTGGTTTGATTCTTATGAATAATTTAATATTATCATTTTATTTTATGTTATTGGATTTCTTTAAATAAAATAGTAATTCAATAAATCGTAATAAATTTATCGATTTTTAACAATGCAAATTCAATTATTATATTGACTATTACGTTGTTTATTTTAAGTAAATAATATTTGTTTTGTTCAATTTTTTCCTATAATTTATGTTATCAATACCAAAATTCACAAAATATAATCTACTTTCGATTTCACTAATAAAATAATTATTTTATTTTCATACTTTTCCTACGAACAACGAACGAACAAACGAACGAACGAACGAACACCTTACGAACAACGAACGAACAATCCGAACATTTTATTTTCTACGAACGAACGAACGAACGCAATTCATTTCTACGAACGAACGAACGAACAAAATAAAAATATTTTTTGCCTACGAACGAACGAACGAACGTTCGTTGACAGCTCTGATTCTGAATAGCGTAGTGGAGCGGCGATGACTCGTTATTATTTTTCGCATCAACATTGGCTCGATGATCGATTAGAGTTTTGATTTCGTTTATTTTACCTAAAAATGATGAAAATATGTGAAATCACATAGCAAGTGTGCGGAGGAGCTCCTCTGCTAAAAATTGGATGCATTGAATTACCATTCTTTGCAGCATAATGGAGGAGTGTTCCTTCGTTACCAATTATGATATTTACATCGGCTCCATGTTCGACGAGATATTCGACTGTTTTTGTGTGACCTAAAATCCATGGAAAGTGATAAAACTAAATTCCATTGAAAATAATTCTTATCCATTCGAAGAGTTGGTTTACCATTCTTAGCAGCCCAGTACAGAGGCTGCTTTCTCTCATGGTCTTCAGAATTTACATTGGCTCCAAGTTCAATTAAAGTTTTGACTGCTTCTCTTTGACCTAGTAAACGCATGAAAATTGTTTAAATTAATCTTTATTTAACATAATTCTTGCATATTCTCGCCGAATTGAATTCAAATGTATGGTTACCTTCTCAAGCAGCCCAGTGGAGAGGTGAGTGTTTATCGCTATCTACCGCATTCACATTGGCTTTATGTTCGACTAGATATTTAATTATATCGGTATAACCTAAAAATCATTCTTCTTAATTGAAAAGATCATTCTTCTTTAATAAAGTGTACAATTACCATGATGAGCAGCCCAATGAATAGGTGTATCTTTATCTTCATCTCCAGGATTCACATTCATGTGCTCCATGTTCGACTAGCAATTAGACTACATCTGTTTGACCTAAAATTTATGTAAAAAATAATTATTTTCAATGCGAAAAGGAGTATAAATTACCTTTCACAACAGCGTGATGTAATGGCGTTTTTTTATTCCAAAAAATTATGGTATTTATATTCGCTCCATGTTCGACTAGATATTTGAGTACATCTTTATGGCCTAAGAAACATAAAAAGTGGTGAGCATTTTTTTTTTCATCTAAAAATAATTCTTCACAATTCGAAAAAGTGTATAATTACCATGCACAGCGGCATAGTGTAATGGCATGATATTCACTTTATTTATTGCATTCACATCAGCTCCGTGATCATATAGTGTTTTTACTAAATCTAAGTGACCTAGAAAATGATGGGAAATACTTTATGGAAAAACCATTTGTCTGAATTCAGAGAAGTGTACAATTACCGTTAATAGCTGAGATATGCAGAGGTGTTTCGTTGACCATGTCACGAGAATTTACGTTGGCTCCATGATCAATTAGGTATTTGACCACTTCTGTTTGACCTAAAATGCACGTAGAAAGAGTTGTGAAAAAATGTTCATGTAAAAATAAATCTTCATCTAAATAAAAAAAATTAAAGTGGAGTACGTTTGGTATTGTCTTCAGCATTTATATTTGCTTCATATTCGATTAAACTTTTGACCATGTCAGTGTAACCTAGAAGGCAGAGAAAGTGACAAAATTAAAATTCATTGAAAATATTTCTTCTCCATCCGGAAAAGTGTATAATTACCATTACTAACTGACCAGTGGAGTGATGTTTTTTTATCTTTATCTTCCGAATTCACATTTGCGCCATGTTCGACTAGATATTTTATTGCTTCTAAATTACCTAAAAAGCATCAAAAGTAATCAGATTAACATAACTCATTGAAAATAATTCGGTTTCATTCGGAGTATTCAACTACCATTTTTAGCAGAGTAATGAAGGGGTGTGACATTATAATTATTAGCGACATTCACATTGCCTCTATGATCAACTACATATTTGACAACATCTGTTTGATCTAAAAAGCATCGAAAGTGATGAGAAAAAACTTCAATCGTAAAAATAATTCATCTCAACCACAATAAGCGGCCCAGTGAAGTGGTGTTCGTTTGTCTTTATCCACGTCATTCATATTAGCACCATGTTCAACTAGATATTTGACTACATCTATGTGGCCTAAATAGCATTGAAAGTGTACAAATTAGGTATTTGAATTTATGCAAATTAGTTGTGGAAATGCCCGCAGTCAGATATAGATAGCAATTAACGATCAAAACACCTGTAATATTTCAAAACTACTTGTGACTTCGTTTAGTGACAACAATGAATTTCATTGTAGAATATAGTTTCTTGATCGAGAAAAATGCAAAATTACCATACTCCGCCGCCCAGTGAAGTGGTGTTTTTTTGTCTTTATCCACGGCACTTACATTGGCTTTATGTTCAATAAGAGTTTTGATTGTTTCCATGTGCCCTACAAACAAATGGAAATGTAAGATTGATCTTCTTTGAAAGTTGTTCTTTTCATTTTTGACCTTTGTCAACAGCGTAATGAAGCGGACTCTTCTGCCCGTTGTCTTCGACATTTACAATGGCTCCAAAATCGATTAATGTTTTGGTTGCTTCTGTTTGACCTAGAAGACATAAAAAATGATGATGTTACTTTATTCAACATATATTCACTGCACGGTTGAATTACCATTTTGTGCAGAAAGATGAAGAGGTGTACGTTTGTCACTGTCTTCAGCATTTACATTGGCTCCATGGTCGACTAGGTACTTGATCGCTTCTATGTTACCTAAAATGAATGTACGAAAGTGTGTTGATTAAAATTCATTGAAAGGAATTTTTCTTAATCGAAAAGATGCACACCCCACTTCAGTATAATGAAGCGGTGTATTTTTATCTGTTGATGGGAAATTAGCGTTGGCTCCACCTCGATGAGAGTTTTTATTACATTTGTATGATCTAGAAAGCATTGAATGTGATGAAATTGATTTTAATTGAAAATATAACTTCACAATTCGAAAAGCTTGGATTTACCCGCCATAGCAGCATATTGGAGTGGTGTTGATTTTTCTCCATCGTCGAAATTTGCATTGGCACCATGTGCTAGTAGATATTTGACCTTATTCACATTACCTAAAAAGCATGAAGTGTTGGTTACTTTGAACGAAGTTTTTAATTTATTTAAATGGATAAGGTTTTGTTGACTATATCATGGGGTGTCATAATTCGACGTGAATACAACAAACAATGATTTTTAGATAGGATAGATGCGTAAGATCTCCGCAAGATCCAGATCCAAGCGTGCGTATGCTGCCGCATGATGCATACATATATAATACGCACGCAAATTCGTTATTCTTATTTCCCCTTCTTTGATTCGCATGCCATAGCATTACGGAGTAAGGAATGTATGTATCATGCGGCTACGTCCGCACGCTTGGATCCGGATCTTGCGGAGATCTTACGGATCTATTCTATCCAAAAATCATTGTATGGAATACAATAAATAAACCATCTCAAAATGGAATCTCTTAAACCAATTTTTTTCCACTCTTACAAGGTGTCTCTTGAAAAGAGCTCATTGAACTGTCCACCATTTAGAGGCTACATTTTTTTTAACAACATCTTTGGTTTTTTTAGACAGTTTCAGTATTTATGAAAGCAACGATAATTCGGCATCAAACGTCGAGCATTTTAACGATGTCCTTGGGAACGACTCTTCCGAAGTTGTGTCGATTTTAAACAAAATGATTTGAAATGTCCAAAATTAAACCTTTTCTCTTCGAAAAATGTGCCATTCTCTTTGAACAATGTTCGGGTGAGTGACACATCTCTTATTAAGTGCTGATTCAGTGATCTCACATCAATTCTTCGAAAAAGAATTAAAAATTTGAACCACAATGTCACACCAAGGAAATTTCACATTGAATTTTGTATCACTTTGTTGTATTTATCATGAATTCTATTGACGGTCGATAAAAATTACCCCTTCTAACGGCATTTAATAGCTGATGATCCAAATCAGTATCGGAACGTGCAGCTTTCAATTCAATAAACAAAAGGAGTATCACCAAAAAATACTTCATTTCAGTTGATGGAATCAATGTTTTTTAGAGAATAAAACACACTTGTCGTTATATTCGTTTTTTGCAAGTATTAAACACTGGGAGAGAAATCAGTTGTACGAGACTTACGACTATTTAATTCAAATATATTTGCACATGTTGCTATGTGTTATTGAATAAAATAGAAATAATCTAGTTGGCTGTAAAAAAAATGAGAATACATTATCAACATTCTGACCCAATAGACAGATATTATTTTAATCCTCTCTCCGTCATTCAAGTTACGACACATTTGTGCAGTTCATACATGTAAAAAAAAGTCACAACCAATACGTATTGCGCAAATCATATTCTTTGCTCATTTTCTTTGTGCTATCGTCTAACATTCAATGCCGTAACGCGCATTACTACTTGTTTATTTGAAAATGAACTTCCATTTACACACTTGATCTTTTAATTTAGGCGATTAATGCAATTCCGTATCATGCATAAGTACTCTATGCCACAAAATGCATTTCTTAAACAAAAAAGTGTTTCGCACTGGGTTTATCCCAAAATTTTCCAAACGAATTTATTTGAAATATAAATGCTTTACCAATTGAAATGATAGCGATTGCTATTCGTTGTTTTATTTATGACTTGCTTTGTTTTATTAATGATGTCCGGTCACTTGGACTTTCGTTTTTAACAAAATCACATTGAATAGAAAATATTGGCTTTCAATTTTTTCAAGATCCCTTTTTCAGGCTTAAGGGATCCAGTACTACTTTCATCTGTGAACGGTCTACATTTTTTTTCAGCAAAAATAATAATATAGAGAAAAGGTGACCTGAGCATGACATTATGTAGATGTATATGCACGTGCTGACCGCGTATTGGTATCGGTTTTGTATGTGTATGGTATAAGGTATAAAATGCATTGAACGCTTTGAAAAACACATTTTAAATAGTCTGACTCACTCATTCAGACATCAACATTTTCATTTCTTCCCGTATTTTGCGGTATTTGAAATACAAAAATCAGGCACAGTGATTGCCACGAAGTCGAACTCAACACAACATTCACAAGAAATTAAGACAAAAATGCTGCTCGAAATTCAACTGTCAATCGCTCTACTGTGTTTAATCAGCTTTGGAATTGCACGTAAGTATTCACTGTGATGAATAAATGTAAAGTTATTGCACTCATAAAAAGGTAAAAATGGAAGAATTTCTGTTTTTTTTTTTGTCAATTTTTCCACCAATCTATAAAATAAAAAAATAGACTTTTTTATCGCCAAAATGTCATAATTTGCTTTTTTCCACCAATTCAGAAAATCAGTGTCCAACGCCAGGCGAAGAGTGTAAAGATATACGCCAGTGTTCCATTCTTAATAATTTGATCCGAAAACCAAATCTATCGAGTGCTGAACGAAAGTTAATAAGTGATAGACTTTGTGGCTACTTATTCGGACACCAATGGGTAATTTCGATCAAATTTACGAATTATTTACACTTAAAAGCATTATTATCTTATTTAGATTTGCTGTCCCTTAGCGCTTCGAAGAAGGTCAGCCGCTGTTGAACTACCTAAGCCCGGTGTTTGTGGAAGTCAATTAGAGCCACAACTTGTTGATGGTGTAACCAATGGAAGCAATTATTTGCCGTGGATGGTTTTACTCGAATACACATACCGTATTGAATTGACTCAAATTCAATTTGATTTTTATGACAACATTTTTTTTCTCTTACAGCAAATGGCAGCAAAGATTTTGATTGCGCTGGTGTTTTAATCAATGAAAACTATGTCCTAACAGGTACATTATAAATGATGAAATCGCATTGAATTCAATAATATTTCTTTGTTTCAATTTCCAAGCCTCGCATTGTGTGAATGACAGAATTTTGGCTCAAAGGACACTATCAGGTTTCAAATAATAATTTCATCTTCCAAACTTTTCCAATTGAATTAATTTTGTTGTTCTGTGTTATCAAGAGGCGTTCGAATTGGTGAATGGAATCATACATCTAACAAAGATTGCGAAGAAGGCATTTGTTTAGATCCAGTTCAAAATGTTCGCGTGGCAGAACTCATTCCACATGAGAATTATAATCTAAGAAAGTCGAGAACATCAGAAAATGATATTGCTCTGCTACGTTTAGAGCGACCGATTAACTATACAGAGTGGATTAGACCCATCTGTCTTCCAATCTCAGGTGATTTTGCCAATAGAAACTACGATGGAGTTTCATTGATCGTTGGTGTTCATTTGGTATGATCATTGATCATTTCGATCGTTATTTTTGTGTTTAATTTTATTTTCGGTTTTCATTTCAGAATGGTATGTTTCACAAAAAAAAAAAAAAAAACATTGCGTTTTGTTAATAAAATAATTGGATAAAAATGATCCCTATAGGTGCCAGAAGTGATGTAAAGATGAAAATTGAAATTAATGGCGTTCCAAACACACATTGCAACAATATGTATCGTGCACGACTCATTACGCTGACAACTAAGCAACTATGTGCTGGCGGCGAGGAAGGAAAGGATTCGTGTAATGGTATGTAATTACTAAAGATGTCATTTAATTTAGTCAAACTGAAGACGGGTTGTTGTTTTTGCTGCAAATAGGTGATTCTGGTGGACCGTTGATGGTAAAGCATGTACTTGATGGTAATGCAACACACATTATCTATTACTTGGTAGGTGTTGTTTCATTCGGACGAACGCCGTGTGGCCAAGCTGGATGGCCTGGAGTGTATACCGTATGTTCGACAATCGATTCATTTTTAACAATTTTCACAATTCACATTCAATTTTTGTTCAAACAGAGAGTTGACCAATACGTGGACTGGATAAAAGATAACATCAAACCATAATTGCACTGTGTCCACGAAATTCAGCGATATAAATAAACGATAACGATGGAAAATTCGAAAATCGAGCGTTATACTCAATAGATATATTTGTTGGAAATACGGGCCGTTTGTTTAAGATTTTTTCTGAAATGCCGGAAAGATCACTTCAAATTTTTTTTTCTCAATTAACAATAAAATCTGAATTTTGTGGAATTAGCAGGACATTTTTGGTTCCTCTCTGATTTGCTACTCAACATTTTTTTTATTGTAAATCAAAATTAAACAAAAAAATGCATTATTTTGATATGGTTTTTAAAACAAGTTCATGTTTATTTTGAAAATAAAAAAAAAACAAATTGTATATATTTATTGGTTTCCTTTTATTTGTTATCAACAAATCAAATCATCGGATTATATTGCCCCAAGCATAAAATACTATAGCATATATGTAAAATTAATAATAATTTTTTTTATCGCTTTTAGGTCTTCCTTAAAATGTAACACACAAATTTACAATATTATTTCTAAATACGGAATTATATTCATACAATTACATGCCAATAAGATTTTGCCAATTCGTTATTGTTTCTGTATAAATGCTATTACAAATCGCAGATAATTTTGAATTGCTTGAAAATCAGAAAAAAGAGAAGGAAATTTTGTGTCTGATTTTTTTTTACAAAGAAACTATAGTATGTATTTGTTTTTGCTATCTAATGCATTTGTATATGTAGTTTTTCGGGATGAATTTCATGCGAATAAATGTTCTTGTTAAAATTGGATTTCTCTAAAAAAAAACAACGGTTAACAAAATTCGGTAGTATTCTTAATTTGTTTGGTCATCGATTGGCTGCAGGCGTCCAATATCGAAACTGGGCGGCAACAGATAGTCGGCTACTGAACTACAACCATTGAAATGCCTATATAAATAAACTCAACAAAATGCCATCTTGTCTAACAGTTGAATGTATAAGGCAATTCTGTTTTTGTGGTCTCCTTTTAGCTTCCCCTCATTTGTTTGACGATTGCATTGCAATCACACTATTTCCCATTGATTTACTTCAGTATTTTCATGTGTGAGTGTATATAAAATTTGAATACAGTAATATTTTCTTCTTCACTAATAAATCTGGTTTTAAATAATTTGTTTTTCTTTTTCTTTTCTTTGCATCACAATAAATAATGTTCTTTGATATTTCCGATATTTTGTTATAACAGATTGTTTATTTGGCCCACCTTGAAAATAGGAAAAAACACATATTTTTTTGTTAAATTTACAGTTTTAAAAAACAATCAAGTTTAAAGACACTTTATTTTTGACCGAAGTGAACATGCCACTATACTCGTTCGTTCTTTTCGTAAACGAGGGCACCGATTAAAAGACATAACTTCTGACCATGGATCCAGGAGGTTAAATTAATTCACCGAACGGATTTGAAAGCATTGATTTTTTTTTTTTTTTTTTTGAATTTTTGGACCTCAGAAGCTATGTTGAAAATCATTCCATTTTATTCTTAAAATGTATCACGTCGTGTCAAAAACAAAGCCTTAACAATTGATATGTACTAACCAATGTTTTTCGATGTGCTTCCTTCTCCAATACAACTTGTGTTTGTTGCGGCGTGAACTTCAGTACAGCAGCAATAACTTTGATCAATGTGGTACTGTTTGAGTTGATATTGTTAGTTAAATACTGAAAAATACAAACGAAACCAGAAATTTGAAATGTCAAATCAGTTTTTTTTTTTGATTCTGTCATAATGTCGTGTAATATTTAACGAACCTGAAACATGATATTTTTCAAATATTCAAATTCGGTGTTGGCCGATATATCATCCGAATGATGCATTGAGACCTGCAGAGAGAGAAAAGAAGAAATTTGAATGCGTTTTTTTTTCTCTTGCAAACAAGAATTTTGATGATTTTTTTTTTCTCATCAAAAAGTGTGTTTAAATCACATACAAGTGTTTCGTCCAATTGCCGTGAAATTTTGTTGTTTTGTAGCTTGAGTCGTTCGTTTTGTTGTTCCAATATGAGGTAATTTTCGCATTGTTGTTCTAAAAATAGATTGCGATTTGACACGTCCTGCACTTCGCTTAAGATTTTGTTCATCTTCTGTTCCAAATCGGTTTTTTCCTTCTTCAAACGTTCGACGGTTGATGATTCTGTATCAATGTCACTGCTGCCGCTGCTTTCTTCATTCGAATGGTTGTTCGTTGAAAACGTGCTTTCGGTTTGACTTGCATGCAATTTCACCGCTTCCTCTTTGATTTGTTGTTGGTGTTGTTCTCTTAATTCATCTAATTGTTGCGTTAAAATCTCATTGGTTGCTTTCAATTCAGATTGCTTTTCACGATATGCCTTTGCATTTTCTCTTAATTCATCAATCTCATGGTTTAATTCGGCAATTTCCCGTTGATTATTTCGTTTTGCTTCGGCCAATTCATATTTAAGATTTTCACACGATCGTTTCATTTCTTCGGCATCATCAATGGCCGGTGTTGATTTGATTTTTGTTTCCAGTTCGTTAATTTTTTCATTCAATTCAGCGATTTCCTTTTCGTGTGCATCGATTTTATCCGTTTGGGCGTTGAGGTCAAGATTAAGGTCACCAATAATGGCTCGACATGATTCGAGCTCCTTTTGTGAATTCATCAATTTCTCTTCGGTTGCCGTCAGTTCTGCTGATTTTTCGTCGTAATTCGATTTTATGGCAGTGGTTTCCGTTTGCTGTTTGGTAAGCTCGGCAACCTGTTGATTCAACGATTGTTTTGTCGTCTCGTATTCATTGGCCAATTTATCGTGTTTCGATTCCAATGAATCTTTGGCTGTTTGAAGTTCATCGTTTAAAAATTTCAGCGTATTCAATTGTTCTTTTAATTGATTTACTTCGGTTTGAAGCTCTTCGGCGAATACTTGTGAGCGTTGGCAAATCGTTTTCAATTGTGCGATTTCATGCTCTTTTTCCTCCGAAACTTTGTCACGATCACGTTTCTCCTCGGCCAACACATACAATTCACACTGTTGCGATTTTAATTTTTCTTTCAATTCGGCGATCTCATTGGTGACCGATATGATTTCATCGTTTTTCGATTTTAAATCAGCCTCAAGTTGTTGCGTCGATTTATTGAGAAATTCATTTTCGATTTTAATTTGATCCATTCCATCCAAATCGCTTTCGATATCGGCCAAACGTTTTACCGAATTTTTCAGTTCTTCATTTTCGGTATGCGATCGATTTAACGAATCGCTCAATTCGGTTGATTGCTCTTTCAATGTGTCGAGTTCATGCTGAAGACTATCGCTTTGTTGTTCCAATTTTTCATTGTTGGCAGTCACTTCATTGATTTTCTCATTCAATTGCTCCAATTGATGTTGTAAATCGTTTTTATTGCTTTCCAATGTCGCATTTTCATTGCGAACTGTTTCCAAATCGATGCGCAATTGGTCACATGTTTGAGTGAGTTCGGTTTTTTGCTGTTCAAGCAATGATTGTTGATCGACCGCACACAATTTCTCTTTTTCTTTACACTCAATTTGATCGAGCAACGAACGATGCTCCAAATCCATTTGCTCTTTTGTATTAAACAATTCGGCATAATCGTCGAGTGATTTCTTCAATTTATCTTGTAATCGAGCATTTTCCTCTTTCACCGAATCAATTTCAAGTGTCACCGTTGCGATTCGGTCTTGATTCGTTGTTGTTTCCGTTTCCAATGCCGTCTCCAGTTCTTTGCATGCCACTTTCAATCGATTGTTATTCTCTTCCAGCAAACAATTCTTCTCGGCCAATTGTGAATTTTCGCATTCGATTGAATTGAGTTTTGCTTCGAATTCTTTAATTTTATTGGTAAGTGACTGTACTACTTCGTCAGTTTGTGAATCGCTTGCAATTCGTTTTTCCCGTTCCAATTCCGAATATTTCTCTTTGACCTCTTTCAATTGCTCTTCCAATCGGCCAATCTCCTGCAAAATATTCGTGACTTGTGTTTGTAATTCCGATTTTTCGCGTAATGTCTTTTCCAGCGTCTTCTCAAGATCTTTCTTTTCGGTTTTGAGTGAATCGATTTTTGATTTTAGGCCAATTGTTTCTGCTTGTGAATCGTCTTTTTCTGCTGCATCGCTTGCACGTCGATTCGTCAATTCTTCTTCATATTTCGAAATTGCTTCTTTCGCCGTGTCACGTTCCTGCGTCAATATTGCTAGCTGCGCTTTTATCTCGTCGATCATACCGTTGGCTTGTGTCAATTGTGTTTGGGTCGCTTCCAATTCGGCCGTAGCATTTCCTTTTTCTTCGAATAATTGCTTGAATCGTGATTCCAATTTCAATTTATCGGCTTTGGCCGAATCTAAATCGCTCGAAATCCGTTTGATTGCGTCGCGATGTTCGTTGAGCATTTCGGTCGCACGCTTTTGCTCGTCGGCCAGCTGTTTACTCAATTCAGCATGTGCATCTTTTGTCGTTTTTAATTCGGTTTCCAATTTTTCGTGACTTTCAATGACACGTGTCCGTGTTATCTCTTCCAATTGTTCATTTTTTCGCATGAGTGAATCGTAGCGTGCCTTGAATTTTTCCAATTCCAATGCATTTTTCGTTAAAATACTTTGTTTTTCACTTTCCAATACGATGACTTTGGCGCGCAATTCTTTATTATCACTTTCAGCAGTGATGGCATTCTTTTTCATTTCGTCGACTTTCTCCTCAAGCGCTCGCTTCGTTTCCGACAGTTCCTTAACACTGGCATTCGCTTTGCTATTCAATTCACGCAATTCGGTCACAATTTCATTGAGACACTCTTTTTCGCTGGCCGATTGTTTTGCATCGTTTTTCAATGATTTCATCTCTTTCTCCTTATTCTCCAGCTCTGAATGAATGGCCAATTTATTTTGCGCCAATAGAATTGTATTCTCCTCTTCGCGTGCAATTAATTCATTCACTTGCTTTTGCGATGATTCCAGCAGGCGACTCAGTTCGGTCGATTTACCTTTTTCATCGGATAGTTGTTGCTTTAATGCCAACAATTGCATTTCAAGCGTTTTTATTTTATCATCGGAATCATTTATTATAATACTAGCACCGGCTATTATTTGGGTTTCTTTTTCCGTTAAATTATTATCAGAATTATCATCCGTACTATCGCTTATATTTATCAAATTCACCGAACTGTTATTATCACTTTGCGATGATGATGGTGGTGATGCTGTTGCTGCGTTTGACATCCCACTTATATCGTTCAATGAAATCAAATTATCGTTGCCATTTTTCATAATATCGTCTGGGCTCTCGCCGTGCAATGTAAGCTTCGTTTTGAGCGTTTCGATGATGCATTGTTGTTCGTCCATTTCCATTCGGAGTGCAGCCTCTAGATGGGCTTTTGCCTGTTGTTCCAACGAACATTGTTCACGAAGCTCACTGATTCGACGCAATGCTTTGTCTTGTGTTTCCACTAGCACCGACTGCAAGCAAAGACAGTAAATGATTTATATAATATTTTCTTTGATTTGAAAAAAAAAAAAAAACAAATTGATTGCAGTCTGATTCTATTTCTTATTCGCCATTTCGTATGAGAGTGAAAGAGCAGGTGGTCTTTATCAGAGATTCGCTCAGCTGACACACATCGACTGAAAATTCTGAGCGCTTTGCACATATGACAAACGTAACATTGATTTTCTTAGAGAGCATCACCCCAGAACCTCTCACAACAAAATCAAACGAGAAAGCGACGTTGCCGCACATTTGATTGCCTGAATTTTCGGTCGATGACTGGTAGCCGGATCGAATGACACTCTATCCATTATTATAGCCAGACTGCATCCCTGTTTCTTAATTTATTGTTATCACCGATTTACCCTAGCTTTGTTATTATCCCGTTCAAGATCCCGATACCGTCGCACCAAATCCGAATATCGGCCTCGATATTTTTGATAACGTTCCAACGACTTTTTATACGCATCGTACAATTTCTCTTTGCTAATCACATCCAATTGGGCTTCATATCCAACGGTTGATGCGCTATCTTCAAATTCACTAGCCGATGCATCAAGATCGGATTGAAAATTGTAGGCGGACGGTGATGTATCAAACGATGGCAATCGAAATGATACATCGCTTGCCATGGAAGAATTGGATAATTTTCGAACACGTACACTTGGTACGGTGCCATTGTTTGATGTATGCTGCATTTGATTTTGAAAATTTGATATTGCATTTGGGCTAATTTGGGTCGATTTGGTGCCAGCACTTCCTTGATTTAAACGATGCGGTGAATTTTGCGGTGTATCTAATGAATGATTAGATAGAAACGATTAACTTTTCCATTAAATTCAATAATAATATGCGATACCCTTACCTTCTTCAGTAATGCTAAAAAAATTATCATTTGACGGCACCGATTCTGATGTTGTACTAGATGCCGAACTCATAGCAGTCTACATCAGAAAAATTAAAAACAATAAACATTGAAAAATGTAGAAAATACGTGAGAAAATAAATAGAGAGAAGATGTCAAGAGAATGGAGACGAAACATATGCAAAGGCCGTTGGAATTCATACATTTCACTCAAAGCAATGGAATTCAAAAGAGAATGCAACATATTTTTAAAACGTATGGTGTCGCTCACACAGCTGTATATTGGGGAACTAGATGGCAAAACAAATACGGTGTCACAGGTATTTCTGCATTGAATCCCTGTAAATTCCACAGTGATAATGACTTTTACCCTAATCATACAGCATTCATCAACGTTATACGCATACATTCATTTTGAAACACACCCACATTTATAATACATAACACTCAATGAATATTGCACGCAAATCTTGAAACACACACTGAGAATAAATAATGTGTAACGTGTTGATTTTGAGGTTCGTCCAAGGTAAACGAAAAAAAAAAAAAACACGGTGCGAATAACGAACAAAAACAACTGTTAAAATAGTTTCGCTCCACGCGAACACTCGTATCACACAAAAAAAAACAATATATGTTTCATCACTTTGGGGCCCCGAATTGAATGCCATAAAAGACAGCATATTTTCATTAAGTTTCGTTGTTTTTTGTTATCTAAATGACTTTTGTTATTGTTTTGCATTTGTGCGACGGCACATTTTGTGCACAAACATTGTTATCATCAATTCGTATCTCGTTCGATGTTTCAATGTGACAATTACCTGGGCAACTTGAGCAAGCTGTTGGATGCGTGATGGTGATGATTTCACCTCTTCGGCGATTTTATCCTTTAATTTTTTAAACATCTTGTATGGACGTTGATATTAATTGAATCGAATGCACACTTTGAATTTACAATACAACTATGAATAACAGACACTATCAAATTGTTTTGATTTTTTTTTTGTAATTTTGATCGCTTTTGTTGATTTCACTTTGTTTTCAACTAATACTTTTCAATCGCTTTTTTTTGCTTTAAAAAAACAACATTTTTGCGGTTGATCAACATTTGCGAATGTGATGAATGTGTGTGTTTTTCGCTCGTCGAAACCGAAAAGAAAAATAACTCAAGCAAAATAATTAACTTTTTTTTTTGGCGATGATGATAATGATGAGCGTTTCACACATTAACACTTTAAAAAATCATATATACATTTGGACTACTGTCAATCGACGTGTAATATTTTCGTTCCTTTTCATTTATTCTCTGTTCGTCTCATTCATGCATTGATGTCGTCATGTTCACAGACCGTTTTTAGTACAAATCCAAGTCTTGTGATTATATTGGAAAATATTTGTAAAAATTAAATGAAAAATCATTTTATTTATTTTGAAATTATAATTTTTAGCCGATTCAACTGAATTCCGAGATAAAACGAGAGAAATAAGCAAAGAAAAACAGTTTATTATTTAAAAAAAATTAAAAAAAATGTTCATGTTATTCTGTCACTTTGTGTTGTTCGTCCAAAAATCTAGTACGCAAAACGCTCCACATCAGAGTAGATGTCATGTAAGCATTTCTGACAGAGAGTGTTTTTTTTAGTACAACCTCTAAAAGTAACACCACCTCGAAATGTCAAATATGTGAATGGTTAATATGGCGGCATGAAACGTTTTAGATGCGTACACACTGACTACTAACACAAAAAAAAAAAGATAGGAAAAGTTAAGCGATTTTAAAACGCCAATTTATAGTTTAAGTTCATTTTCAATTTTACGTAAAATTTTATTCGTCGTAGTTTTGTCAAAGAATTCCATTCAAAAATCAGGTAAAAATGTGTAAAAATGTCGGTGTACAATTTCTTTGGGTTTTTCATTTTCTCCGCTTGAAAGCGGCATGCAAACATCCAAATGTTTGGTTATAACAAAATTGTTTGTGTGTAAATTTAGAAAAGTGAAAGACTCTCTTTCGAATATTGGTGTCTAAAATCGTTCAGTGGATATTTTGTGCAAATAATTTCTGTGACGATTTGTTTTGTGATTTGATTAAAATGCATTTTTAGTTACCGGCTTGAATTCCGTGTTTTATTGCGTGTATTTGGTCATTTTGTGTTAAAATAACAACGAATTTTATCTTATTGCAAGAGATTAATGAATGCAAATAAAAATTGTTTTCAAATTGCAGAACGGAGGTGTGAAAGGAGTAGAAAGAGAGAGAGTTGAGTAAAAATGGCGATACCGCCGTATATGATACCGCCAAATCCATGGGCCGCGCATATGATGGCGCAACAGCAAGCCCAAGCGTTTGCGGCTGCCCAAGCTCAAATGCAACAGCAAATGGCCACTGCACAAATTCAACAACAGATTCCGCCTGGTATGCCGGGTGCGACAAATGGACAAATGCCACCACCGATCCTACCCAAACCAGACATTATGACCGATGAAAAATTGCAAGAGAAATCACAGAAATGGCATCAAATTCAGACAAAACGTTTTGCCGAAAAGCGTAAATTTGGTTTTGTCGATGCACAGAAAGAGGATATGCCACCGGAACATATTCGAAAAATTATACGCGATCACGGTGATATGACAAGCCGAAAGTATCGACATGATAAACGTGTTTATCTTGGCGCACTCAAATATATGCCGCACGCTGTATTGAAATTATTAGAAAATATGCCGATGCCATGGGAGCAAATTCGTGATGTAAATGTATTGTATCATATTACTGGCGCAATTACATTTGTTAACGAAATTCCATGGGTCATTGAACCAGTTTACATTGCTCAGTGGGGGTAAGTTTAGCATCGATTTCTCATTTCGGGAGAAATATCGAAAGTAGTGTTTCGCAATTTTTAATGCGTTTCATTTGTTTTGCATCGCAGAACCATGTGGGTGATGATGCGTCGTGAGAAGAGAGATCGTCGTCATTTCAAGCGTATGCGTTTCCCACCATTTGATGACGAAGAACCGCCACTTGACTATGCCGATAACGTGTTGGACGTTGAACCGCTCGAAGCCATTCAGATTGAATTGGATCCAGAGGAAGACGCAGCTATTTTTGATTGGTTCTATGAACACAAACCACTTGTCGGAACGAAGTAAGTTTATTTTTCTCCATTTTTTTTTCTCATTCATTCAAATCAACTAATAATTCTTTAATTAGCTCCAAATTGGAACTGGATGATATTCAAAAGAAAATTAAAAGAAAATTCATATTCGAATTTCAGATTTGTGAACGGATCGACGTATCGAAAGTGGAATTTATCATTGCCACAAATGGCTTCGTTGTATCGTCTTGCAAATCAGTTGCTCACTGATTTGGTCGATGACAACTTTTTCTATTTATTCGATCCGAAAAGTTTCTTCACCGCAAAAGCATTGAACATGGCCATTCCCGGTGGACCGAAATTCGAACCATTGATCAAAGACCATAATGTTGGGTAAGTAACATTTTTTTAAAACTGCAGTTGCGCAGCTGAAAATCAAACATTTTATCTCCAGCTTTATGGACTCTTATTATTATTTACAATTGAATTCTCCTTTGCAGTGATGATGACTGGAATGAATTCAATGACATTAACAAAGTAATCATTCGACAACCGATCCGTACCGAATACCGTATTGCGTTCCCATATTTATACAACAACATGCCTCATTTTGTGCATCTTTCATGGTAAGTCCCGCATAGAGTTGTTCAGCAAAGTCTGGAATTTTTCATTAAAAACAGATAAATCCGAAGAATTTTAATAAAGAAACAATTTAGAGTATTTATTCTTTAAAGCAATTTATTTTGGCGGAAAAAATAACATCCACCAAAATAATATTCCGCTTCAGGTTCCATTTGGTCAAAGTGCCTATTTGAAGTAAAATTTTGGTATGAGACTAATCGAATGGTAGATAAAAATCAGCCAATTTAGAAAATTTACTATAATATGCGATTTAAAATTCATTTTCTGTGGCGTGGTTTAGATGTTTGGCTTTTGGATTAGTTTTCCAAGAGGCAGCTTACTAACCACAAACAAATTTAAACTTGCAAACAAATAACTGCTAGAAAATTCGATTTTTTAAAACTATTTTCAATGCCTTTTGAATATTCCTTAACTTTTTTTAAGTGAAAAAAAAAAAAAAATGATGAAATAATTGTTGAAAAAATAATGACAAAAATCAAATTTCAAATAAAGAGATTTAATGGTTATTTATCTGCTTCAGGTATCATACCCCAAATGTGGTCTATATCAAAACAGAAGATCCTGATTTGCCGGCATTTTATTTTGATCCATTGATAAACCCAATATCACATCGTCAGTCAATAAAAGTGGTCGAAGTGAGTGGTTTCGATGAAGATGAAGAGTTCACATTAGACGAAGAAGTCCAACCATTTTTACAAGATACCCCATTGTACACGGACAACACAGCGAATGGTATTTCATTATTATGGGCACCACGTCCGTTCAATATGCGTTCCGGTCGAATGCGTCGTGCCATCGATATTCCATTGGTAAAAACATGGTACAAAGAGCATTGTCCTCCCGGTCATCCAGTTAAAGTTCGTGTCAGTTATCAAAAACTGTTGAAATACTACGTACTAAATGCTTTGAAGCATCGAAAACCAAAACCGCAAAAGAAACGATATCTATTCCGTTCGTTTAAGGCAACAAAATTCTTTCAAACGACCACATTGGATTGGGTTGAGGCCGGTCTGCAGGTGTGTCGTCAGGGTTACAACATGTTAAATCTATTGATTCATCGAAAAAATTTGAACTATTTGCATTTGGATTACAATTTCAATTTGAAACCGGTGAAAACGCTCACCACCAAAGAGCGTAAAAAGTCACGTTTCGGAAATGGTAAGTTGAAACATGCTCATGATTTATATAAATAAAAAAATCTTCAAATTTCATTTGAGTTTGATAACAAAAAATTGCACGTGAAAAAAATCAAAGAATTTTCTCTTTCATTTCCATTGCAGCCTTCCATTTGTGTCGTGAAATTTTACGGTTAACAAAATTGATCATCGATTCTCATGTACAGTATCGTTTGAATAACGTCGATGCATTCCAATTGGCCGATGGTTTGCAGTACATTTTCGCGCATGTTGGCCAATTGACTGGCATGTATCGTTACAAATACAAATTGATGCGACAAATTCGAATGTGCAAAGATTTAAAACATTTGATCTACTATCGATTTAATACGGTAACATTTAAACTTCTACATTTCTTCTCAATCTGTTAATCGTTGATGCTAATGCTTTGGGTTGTTTGCCATTTTATTCAATTCTCCCATAGGGTCCGGTTGGCAAAGGTCCTGGTTGTGGATTCTGGGCGCCCGGTTGGCGTGTATGGTTGTTTTTCATGCGTGGCATCACACCGTTGCTGGAGCGATGGTTGGGTAATTTGTTGTCACGTCAATTTGAAGGTCGTCATTCAAAGGGTGTTGCAAAAACCGTAACAAAACAACGTGTCGAATCGCATTTCGATTTGGAATTGCGTGCATCGGTCATGCATGACATAGTCGACATGATGCCCGAAGGTATCAAACAAAATAAAGCCCGTACCATTTTGCAACATTTATCGGAAGCATGGCGTTGTTGGAAAGCAAATATTCCATGGAAAGTGCCCGGTTTACCGATTCCAATTGAGAATATGATTTTGCGTTATGTTAAAATGAAGGCCGATTGGTGGACCAATACAGCGCATTACAATCGTGAGCGTATTCGACGTGGTGCAACCGTTGATAAAACGGTGTGCAAGAAAAATTTGGGACGCTTAACACGTTTGTATTTGAAAGCTGAACAAGAACGCCAACATAATTATCTTAAAGATGGTCCATACATATCGCCAGAAGAAGCGGTCGCCATTTATACGACCACCGTGCATTGGTTGGAATCACGTCGATTTGCACCAATTCCATTCCCACCGCTGTCATACAAACACGACACAAAATTGCTGATCTTGGCATTGGAACGTCTGAAAGAAGCGTACAGCGTTAAATCACGATTGAATCAAAGCCAACGTGAAGAATTGGGATTGATCGAACAGGCATACGATAATCCGCATGAGGCATTGTCACGTATTAAACGTCATTTATTGACACAACGTGCATTTAAAGAAGTGGGCATCGAATTTATGGACTTGTATAGCCATTTGATTCCGGTCTATGATGTTGAACCATTGGAAAAGATCACCGACGCTTACTTGGATCAATACCTATGGTATGAAGCTGATAAACGGCGCTTGTTCCCACCATGGGTGAAACCAAGCGACACCGAACCACCACCATTACTCGTTTATAAGTGGTGCCAAGGTTAGACCATTTATTTGATTTTTATTTGCTCTTTGATTTGATTGATTTGACGATCGTTTTTATTTCTCGCTGCAGGTATCAATAATTTACAAGACGTTTGGGACGTATCGGAAGGTGAATGTAATGTATTGCTTGAATCACGATTTGAGAAATTGTACGAAAAAATCGATTTGACACTATTGAATCGACTGCTTCGTTTGATCGTCGATCATAATATTGCCGATTATATGACCGCAAAGAATAACGTGGTTATCAATTACAAAGATATGAACCATACAAACAGTTATGGCATCATTCGTGGTTTACAATTTGCATCGTTTGTTGCACAATATTATGGTTTGGTGCTGGATTTACTTGTGTTGGGATTACAACGAGCCAGCGATATGGCCGGTCCACCACAAATGCCAAACGATTTTCTCACCTTCCAAGATTCGGCCACCGAAACAAATCATCCAATTCGATTGTACTGCAGATACGTCGATCGTATTCATTTATTCTTCCGGTTTACCGCCGAAGAGGCAAGAGATTTAATTCAAAGATATCTCACCGAACATCCAGATCCAAACAATGAAAATATTGTCGGTTACAATAACAAGAAATGCTGGCCCAGAGACGCCAGAATGAGACTCATGAAACACGACGTCAATTTGTAAGTAGTATTTTTTTGGTGATGGCTACATTTTTATTTTTTTGGTTCTTTTTTAAACAAAAAGAACGAGTAAATTGAGTCCAGAATCGACAACTTTGACAAATAAATGTAAAAGTTGAAAAATATTTTTTTCATTTTTTGTTAAAAACTACACTCAAAATGTCATTAAGTTTAAAAATAAGTTTTATTTTTTCTTGAATTGCAGAGGTCGTGCTGTATTTTGGGATATCAAAAATCGTTTGCCACGTTCAGTGACAACAATTCAATGGGAAAATACATTTGTATCAGTTTATTCAAAGGACAATCCAAATTTATTGTTCAATATGTCTGGATTTGAGTGCAGAATCTTGCCGAAGGTAGATTCCGATTAGAATTTCAACCTCATTTTTTCCAAGTTTATCAATGGTGTCTTTTTTCCAATATTTTTCTCTCTCCAGTGTCGTACCCAACATGAAGAGTTCACTCATCGTGATGGTGTGTGGAATTTACAAAATGAAGTGACAAAAGAGCGAACGGCTCAATGTTTCTTGCGTGTTGATGACGAATCGTTGGGTCGTTTTCATAATCGTGTGCGTCAAATTTTGATGGCATCCGGTTCGACAACATTCACAAAAATCGTTAACAAATGGAACACCGCATTGATTGGTCTGATGACATATTTCCGTGAGGCGGTTGTCAATACCCAAGAACTCTTGGATTTATTGGTGAAATGTGAGAATAAAATTCAAACACGTATAAAGATTGGTTTGAATTCAAAAATGCCATCGAGATTTCCGCCGGTCGTGTTTTACACGCCAAAAGAATTGGGCGGTTTGGGCATGTTGAGTATGGGTCACGTTTTAATTCCGCAATCAGATTTACGTTGGTCGAAACAGACCGACGTTGGAATCACTCATTTCCGATCAGGTTCGTAACTGATGAAAAAGAATTACAATTGAAATGTGTAAAATAAATAAATAATTTTTTTGAAAAATTCCAGGTATGTCACACGATGAGGATCAATTGATTCCGAATTTGTATCGTTACATTCAGCCATGGGAGTCTGAATTTATTGATTCGCAACGTGTATGGGCCGAATATGCATTGAAGCGTCAAGAGGCGAATGCTCAAAATCGTCGTTTAACATTGGAAGATTTGGAAGACAGTTGGGACCGTGGTATACCCCGTATCAATACGTTATTCCAAAAAGATCGTCACACATTGGCATACGATAAAGGTTGGCGTATTCGTACCGAATTCAAGCAATACCAGGTGCTGAAGCAAAATCCATTCTGGTGGACGCATCAACGTCACGACGGTAAATTATGGAATTTGAATAACTATCGAACGGACATGATTCAAGCGCTTGGTGGTGTTGAGGGTATATTGGAGCATACATTGTTCAAAGGTACCTATTTCCCAACATGGGAAGGTCTGTTCTGGGAGAAAGCGTCCGGTTTCGAAGAATCGATGAAATATAAAAAATTGACCAATGCCCAGCGATCCGGTTTGAATCAAATTCCAAATCGTCGTTTTACATTGTGGTGGTCGCCGACCATCAATCGTGCCAATGTATATGTTGGTTTCCAAGTACAATTGGATTTGACCGGTATTTTTATGCATGGTAAAATTCCAACGTTGAAAATTTCACTCATTCAAATTTTCCGTGCTCATTTGTGGCAAAAAATTCACGAATCAATCGTGATGGATTTGTGTCAGGTGTTCGATCAAGAATTGGACGCATTGGAAATTGAAACGGTGCAAAAAGAGACGATTCATCCACGGAAATCGTACAAAATGAATTCATCGTGTGCGGATATTTTACTATTTCCGGCATACAAATGGAATGTGTCACGACCATCATTGTTGGCCGACACCAAAGACACAATGGACAATACAACAACGCAAAAATACTGGTTGGACGTACAATTGCGTTGGGGTGACTACGATTCACATGATGTTGAACGTTATGCACGTGCCAAATTCTTGGACTATACCACCGACAACATGTCAATTTATCCATCGCCAACGGGTGTTTTGATCGCCATCGATTTGGCATACAATTTGCACAGTGCTTATGGTAATTGGTTCCCGGGCTGTAAGCCGCTCATTCAACAAGCCATGGCCAAAATAATGAAAGCAAATCCAGCATTGTATGTGTTGCGTGAACGTATTCGAAAAGCGCTTCAATTGTACAGTTCAGAACCGACCGAACCGTATCTATCGTCACAGAATTATGGTGAATTGTTTTCAAATCAAATCATTTGGTTTGTTGACGATACAAATGTGTATCGTGTCACCATTCACAAAACATTCGAAGGAAATTTAACAACCAAACCGATTAACGGTGCTATTTTCATTTTCAATCCACGTACGGGACAATTGTTTTTGAAAATTATTCACACATCGGTATGGGCGGGACAAAAACGTTTAGGACAATTGGCCAAATGGAAAACCGCCGAAGAAGTGGCTGCATTGATTCGTTCATTGCCGGTTGAAGAACAACCGAAACAAATTATCGTCACGCGAAAGGGTATGTTGGATCCATTGGAAGTGCATTTACTTGATTTCCCGAATATTGTGATCAAAGGATCCGAATTGCAATTACCATTCCAAGCATGTTTGAAAGTTGAGAAATTCGGTGATTTAATTTTGAAAGCAACCGAACCTCAAATGGTTCTATTCAATTTGTATGACGATTGGTTGAAGACAATATCATCGTATACGGCATTTTCGCGTTTGATTTTGATATTGAGAGCATTACATGTGAACACCGAACGCACCAAAGTCATTTTAAAACCAGATAAAACAACAATCACCGAAGCTCATCACATTTGGCCAACGCTCAGCGATGAAGAATGGATCAAAGTTGAAGTTCAACTGAAAGATCTGATTTTAGCCGATTATGGTAAATATAGCCTCATTTATTTTCTTATTAATTTCGTCAAAACTCTTATATTAAATGCATTTTCTCTGGTCATTTTCAGGTAAAAAGAATAATGTAAATGTTGCATCATTGACCCAATCGGAAATTCGTGATATTATTTTGGGTATGGAAATTTCGGCACCGTCGGCACAACGTCAACAAATCGCCGAAATTGAGAAACAAACGAAAGAACAGTCACAACTTACAGCGACCACAACACGAACGACGAACAAGCATGGTGACGAAATTATTACATCAACCACATCCAATTATGAAACGCAAACATTTAGCTCGAAAACAGAATGGCGTGTTCGTGCCATATCAGCGACCAATTTACATTTGCGTACCAATCACATCTATGTCAGTTCGGATGACATCAAAGAGACCGGCTATACATACATTTTGCCAAAGAATGTGCTCAAAAAATTTGTCACCATTTCTGATTTGCGTGCACAAATCAGTGGGTATTTGTATGGTGTTAGCCCACCGGATAATCCACAAGTGAAAGAAATTCGTTGCATTGTAATGCCACCACAATGGGGTACACATCAAACCATTAATTTACCCACACAATTGCCATCGCATCAATACTTAAAGGATATGGAACCGCTTGGATGGATTCATACACAACCAAATGAATTACCACAATTATCACCGCAAGACATAACCACACATGCAAAAATCATGTCCGACAATCCAGCATGGGATGGTGAAAAAACAATTGTTATCACATGCTCATTTACGCCGGGCTCATGTTCATTGACCGCATACAAATTAACACCGTCCGGCTTTGAATGGGGTTCGAAGAATACAGACAAAGGAAACAATCCAAAAGGATATCTACCAAGTCATTATGAACGCGTTCAAATGCTGTTGTCGAATAAATTCTTGGGTTTCTTTATGATACCGTCGCAAGGCAGTTGGAATTACAATTTCATGGGGGTGCGTCATGATCCAAATATGAAATATGAACTACAATTATCCAATCCGAAGGAATTCTATCATGAAATTCATCGACCGTCACATTTCTTATTGTTCTCGAATTTGGAAGATGGCGGCACTGATGGCAGCAACGGTGCAGATCGCGATGATGCCTACGCTTAAGCATACCATCTTTTTTTCTTTTTTTTTTAAATTAATTTTCACATTGAATTGACACTCGGATCTTCGAGTATATAGAATTTTATTGATATGAAAAACAATTAATTTAGGATGATTTTAGAATTTGGTTTAATTCATTCAAAACACCAAGCCACGTTTTTTTTCTTCTCATTTGTAATTTGTAAAGAAAATAGAAATCGAAAACAATTTTATTTGAGAACCGGTCGCATGTGCTCTGATTTAAAAGAGCCGAAAAAAATGTCGTGTTTTTTCTCCTTCTAAAAAAATGGTTAAGCAATTAATATAAATAAATAAATAAAAACATATAAACTCAAAATTTAAAAATAAAACTCATTTGTGTGTTTTTTTATTCGTTTAAACATTAAGGCAAATTGTTATTTGTATTTTGTTGGTTTTGTACGGACTAACATGTAACATTACATTTTCTCTCTTCTTCTCTTTAAATTTTAGCTTTGTTCCATTCATCATAATAATATTTTTTTGTTGTTGCTTGTTCTTCTTTGTTTTTTTTTTCGTCTTTTTTTTCTTTGTAATTTTTAATAAAATATCTCATATTTATTTTTCTGTTGTAAAATCTAGTGTTTGACATCGTTTTGTGAACAGAGCCGGTGTTTGAGTGTGTTTATATATCAAACGTTTGTGTGTTTGTGTGTGTGTATATCTGCACAAAAAACTAATTTTTTCTGTTTATTTTGTTATGTTTTTTTTTTTTTTTTTATTAACAAGACACGTGTTATCAAGAGTGCGTTGACGAGGTACACATTTTTGTATTCATTCTTCATTTTCTCCATTTGCTATGTTTCATATGCTGATCTCTTTATTTTCTACAGTGACGAAAAATATACAATTTGTTTTTCTTCAAAAAAATGTGATTAGAGAAAACAGCAGTCATTACAAATTCTTTCTCTTTTTGATCTATTTTCATGCGTGTTTTTCTCTTCTTTTTTTTCAAAAAACACAATAATTTTTTGGTGCCATTTTAACATTGACTTAATTTTTCTTTATCATTTAACATAATCATTTGGATTTGTTTGCTTCAGAACACAATTTTACAATTTGAATAACTAATCTTTTTAAAAATGTGAAAGAAATGTTTTCTTCGAATCTTTTTTCCCCGACTGAAATTATTTTAAAATATGAATGTACTTTAATTGCAAAACCACGTTAATTTAACTAAAAAATCTGTTCTTTGTTTTTTCTTTAAAAAAAAATTATGCATATAGAAAAAAAATGATTGTACTCAACTTAAAAAAAGAGACATGTAATCCTAATTGCTATAAATCGTCTTATCATGAAAATATGCTTTTCTTTAAATTTTTATGTTTTGCTCATTCAAAGTCTTCACGACATTTACATAAAAAATACAATTCTGGGCTATTCACTTATTCTCTTTTGCATGTATGCATGTGGGTGTATATGTTTGTGTATGTATTACAATAATTCGTATTTTTCTCTTAGAAACATATAAACTGTTATCGTCGTCGTAGTCACATTAAAAAAAAAAAAACGTTATGTCGCCTGAATCGCAAACCAATCGACTGATATGCACATTTGTTTTTCATTTCATATTGTTGTTCTTATTTGTGTTGCACATTTAACAAAAATGGACATTTCCAATTTGGGAATATAATATAATATGTAGGACCGTTTACAAAAGGAAGAATCCTCTTTGACATCATTTCTTCTTCACTCTCTCTCTCTCTGTCTCTCTTTGAAAAGCACATTCAAATCTATTGACATTTCGTGTTATGCAGATTTTTTTGCGCGTTGTTCGCATGCATGATTCTGAGTGTGGTTGCGAGGTATTACGAGTCCGTTCGGCCACTTACTGCTGTAAAATTGAAAAAAAGAGAAAAAGAATCATTAGCATCGAGGAATTAAAAATATATTTTTTTATGGAAAATTGATAATTTGATAGAAAAATAATGATTTAATAGAGTTCATACAAAATAAATGAACTTCAGGAATCGACTGCCCAACTGCTTATATTGCTGTTCACCAGCACAACTATCAATTAGCAGTAGCTGAACATTTGGGTTTAAGATTCTCCTTACTAACTAAGCACTTTTTAAATATTTTAAGATTCTAGCGGGAATTGAATTTTTCAAAAAAAAAAAAAACATTGATTTTTACCTTTGTTGGTATTACCAGCGCCACTTTGATTGTTTCGATTGTTGAAACGTTTTGGATTATCACAGTCATTGTTGTATTCGGATGTGGCACGTTGTTGTTGTTGCCATTTTTGTTGTAATCTTGGCGGTAACGTGCGATTGTATGAATTGTCTTTGTTACGTGAATAAGTTTTGCGATTGTATGATTGGAAATGTTCAAAATTGTCATTCTCCTGGTTTCGTCGATTGAATGAATCGTGTCGGGTGCGTTGGTTGTTGAATTCTTTGCCTTTGCTATCGACACTGCCGCCGCGAATCAGGTTTCGTCGATTGTTGTAATTACCACCGCCACTGCCGCCACCACTGCCGCCACCACTGCCACCGTTATCATTGCTGTGTCGTCCATTATTGTTTGAATTTTCACGATCATAATCGTTGCCGGTTGTTCGTTTATTATATCCATTTCGCGGTGAATTGCGTCCACCTCCGGCTCGCCAACTTTGATGATAGTTTTGTGATTGTTTCGTATCGTTACGATTTGAACGTTTTTCATTCTGTTGTAAATCTTCATTCGATTGTCGATAAAATTCCGAACGAAATCGATTCAAACTATTGCGTCGACTGCGATTCGTATGCGATGATTGCGGTGATATGCGTTCGGGTGGACTAGCCGGATTTGAACTGTATGATGCCAAACTTAGTGTATCAAATTTATTATTGCTACCGCCGCTATTATTTAAATTTGGTATAAATTCTGGAAGTTCTTCACGTTCAACCGCCTCAAACCAATTGAAATTCTCGAGCTTTGGATGGATTAAACCGCTGTCAAATGATTCGGTTGGACTAGTTATCGATGTTTCCGCTTTGGTCGGTGTCGTTGAGGATGATGATGACGGTTGTGGTGGCGTTAATGAGTCTTGACAATTTGTTGATATTGTTAGCAATGCTGGTCGTGCTGCTGTTGCCGTTGCCGTTGCCGTTGACATCGTTGATGTCATCGTCTGTATCGTTGTCATCGATGGCAATGATGATGAGTCATTTCCATCCGATTGATTATTATTCAATGAATTTGTTTGGTGACTTAAGCACATATCTGAACTGGATGCACGTAGTTGATTGCGTAACGTTGATTTTGATGCATCATCATGTCGTTTCGCGTCTCTTGTTAATTCGGAATTACTATTTTGAAAATATTTCAGTCTATCGCTTGCTTTTAACGGTCGATTCAAATATTCACGATTGATTCGTCGATTCTCTTCGCGATGTCCGCCGCCACCACCATTACCAGCGTTACCACCATTGCCGCCATTTGTTTTTAAACCGGCAAAATCTAATCGCAAATTACGCAAACTATAGCTATTCGCGGGCTCATCAATTTGTGCATCTTTTCGTGATGCAATCGACGGATGTTGGCTACGATTTTCCGTATCGTGTTCATCCAAAAATTTACTGTAAAATTGCTCCAATTTTGTGCCCACACTCTTGAATCCACTATAGTAGAGATCAAATGACATGAGTAGAAATGCTTTTGTTACCGATGCCAAATTCGGCACCTCAATCAAACATTTACGCAATTCATAAAACAATACATCAATTTCATTTGAATGATGCGCCTTTGCCAGCAAACCATTTAACGTAATCTAAATGATGAACGGTTTTTGTTTTTGGTTTTCGTTTTTGGAATTAATGAAAAAAAAAAATAAATAAAATAAAGATACAGAAATTTAGACCAAATCCAGAGAAAGAGAAAAGAACACTTTTGACCAAAAAAAAAATGCACACACTCACTTGTGTTAGTAGCAGTCGGGCGAATTTCACATTAAACACATGCGTTGGATCATTTGTACAATTGGCGCATTCATTTTTCAACTCTCTGGTCAACAGTTCAATAAGACTGCGACCAATGATTAAGACTGGATGAGATTTTTGGTGCAAACGATTATAAAATTCACCTAGCAATGTGATTGAATTATAGAATCGGTTCATGCTCTGCAATTTTAATTTTTCGGCACCTGTTTGAATCGAACGAACAACACAACAATCAGTAAATTGTTTTTTCTTTCAATTTAAAATGCAAATATTTGAAACCTACTCGAGTAATTTTGTTGAAGCATATTTAAAATATGCGCCCGAAAAATACTATTTCCATCCGATGATTGTAAATGCTCTCGCAAACCATCGAAATGGCATGATGTGAATAGCATTGCAAAATTAACAGCAAAATCCTCATCTTCAAGAGCTCGTTCGTTGAAATATTGCAACGCCGACCTGCCGACAATTAAACGAAAAACACATTTGAAATTTTTTAATGGGCTTTAAAATGAATGAATGTCTCTAATGAATCGATCGGTATCTTTAATTAGTTTCAAAAATAAAACAGTTATTTTGGGTGGTTGTTTCGACAGTGACTCACTGTCAAAGTGTCAAGTTTCAATGCATGACTCATATTGTATTGTCGAGGACCACTCAGACGGTGTTTTCATTCAATTTAATTTAGTTCAATGGAATTTAAAGAGAATGAAAAAACGTAAAAATAAACTTACCACAAAATATTTTCGTCACCTTCAAGCACTTCATTTATGTCATAAGCCAAATATTTGAGATTACGATCCAAAATGATTGAATCTTCATTTTGATCCAGTGATTGAATCAATGAACAGAATGAATGAAAAGGGCTCTCCATATCACTGTCAGTCATCGATTATAATCGATAGCGATGGTTTTTGTGTAGCGCCGTATTTCTTCTCCTTTTCACTTTCTTTCTCTCTCTCTCGCTCGCTCGCACGCTCACTCAAACTGCCTGAAATGAGAAAAACAACAACACAGATTAGATTAATCGCGGTAAAACCACATTTTTCTATTTCTCACTCTCTCTCTCTCTCTCATTTTACCATACATCACATTTTCTCTCTCATACAGACTCACATCTCACACTATCGTCACTCTTACTCCTCTATATATGTATCTATCTTTTTCTGTCTTGTTTATTTCCATGTATGGCCTAATGCTGAACCAATAACGCGAACAAGAAACGAAGCAAAAGAGGGAAAAAGGCCAACGATTCGCTTCTCATAAAAAAAGAGAAAAATGTTGTTGGATCTCTTTAATTATTGTCGCTGTGAGTTTTTTTTTCAAATCATCAAAATCGCTATACAAGCCGCAACGCATAAAATGAGCGAAAAATAAAACTCAACACTTGTCCACAACTATACCGCCGTCTGAGGATTGACTGTGACAATAACATTTTTTATGTGTTTTTTTTTCTTTACATTTTCTTTTTTAACAAACAATAATCTACAATACCGTTTTTCATGTTGCCCTTTTCTTCTTAATAATATTTTCTTTCGCTTCTTCTTTTTCCCTACTAAGCTGCTATTGTTTTCGGCACGTTTCTATGAAAAAAAAAAACTAACCATCATTAAAACCAACAACAACATACAATCAACGCATACACGCGAGTGAATGATTTTTCTTTCTTTTGAGCGCTTGCGAAAAAGAATAGAATTGCAAACTGTCTCCCTCTTGCACCCACAAAACAACGAAATTTTAAAGAGAAATGAAATCACACACCATAAGTAATTAGATACACAATGTTGTGTGTGTCAATTGTATTGTTTGGGAATGAAAAATGAAAAGCAAGAAACAACAACAACAAAACGCAAACCGCTCACACACCAATGAGTATTTTTATCGGAGTTAATTCACTTAAAAATATACACGAGATGAGGAAATAAATTCGAAATCAACAGCTACAACAACCACAAAAAATTCTATCGAAATAAAACAACAACACAAAATCTTCTGCATCACGCACAGAGACAGCAAAGAATTTCATTTCACTGAAGATGAAAAACAACACCAACAACACCAGTGGCAAAATATCTATATAGAAGAGAGAAAAATATCGTAATTGCATGCAAACACTCACGTACAATCGATACATAAAATAAAATCTCTATGAAAATCGAATGTGTCCAGGACAACAACAACAACAACTACAATTCAACTAATGAGCTTATATGAGGCTTCGGAGCCAACGCATTTTTTCCTTTTGATTCGATTCTAGAAAACACGCACGGAAATTTGGTTATCGGCACACAACGGAAAAATAATTGCACAATCGAATAACTTTTTTTCTTCTTCTCGTTTCATTTGATACTTGCTTTTTTGTTTCTGCTTTTGTGTGGCGTTTTGTTTTCGCGTTTATTCCTTCAACTACTTTTGTTGGTTATTTTGGTTTTGTTTTTCTGCACAATTTTCCAGCGATTTATTTGTATAAATTCTCACTTTTTTTAACGAAACAAAACGGCAACGAAAAATAAGAAATTATTTTCTTTTAATTCTAATAGAGTGGCTTCTGATTCTTTCTAGTTATTGTTCATGTCTCGTTCTATCATTTCAAAGTGTGATACACATATACCATGAGTGTGTTTTTTTTTTGATGCTGTGATGTTATGGCTTGTCGTGTGTGCTTCTGTGTTTGTGCTTGTATGTTTGTTGTGTCTAAGAGTGTGTGTGTGTGTGTTGTGAATGTGCGTGAGTGTGAGAATACTGACAGAAATTGACGTTACGTGCCGATGTATGTTGTTGTGTGTTGTTTTGTATTTGAACGACGGCTGCTGTTACTTCTTCTTTTTCATTTACATTTCGAAGTTTTCGTTCCCGCTTTTGCCTTTCATCATCGTCTGTCTCATTAAATTTTCATATGTACTGCCACTAGTAAATGTGTATTGAACAGTTTTTATGTGTGTACATGTGCCAAACACATATTCAAGTTCAATAGCAGCGCGAAAAATAGCAACACAAGAACGCGCTCATTTGTCTGCAGCGAATTTAATTAAAAGATTCACCGAGAGAGAGAGAGAGAAACACGCTCCCAGCAACATATAATGAAACGAAAGAAATAAAAAAAAACATTCACAACAATATCATTTTTCTTCAGTTCGATGAAGCGAATTCAGTGCTCCATTCCATCATTGTTATATATTTCCGTGTTTAGATGCGTGTATTACATATATTTATTACGACATTGACAGGGTCGATGTTTTTTCCGAATTGCTAGTCAATTTCTTTTTCTTTTGTTTTTATTATCGCCGCCGTGGTGTGTTATTTTCAATTTTCCTTCCTCGTTTGCACGGAAACCACTGTGCATCTGTCGAATAAAACCAATTGATGACTATGTCTATGTCTCTGTCTCTGTCGCGGTGATTGCCGATAAATTTAGAAAACACTGTTTTTTTTGTTTGCCCCGGCCAACCGACCGAAGTCACCACCGTGTGCACATTAGATAAGTGGTCAATGCACTGACGATTCACCATTCTACATACAAATGCATGCTATCGCCGCCTGTTTTTCGCATCGTTTTTATTTATTATATTTTTATATCATCGTTATTTGCACACAGAGTATGTTAGAACCGATTTGTTGTTCTCGGTCACTTGAGACTCGGTTGCGTGCGTCAGCGATTATTTTTGTGTAATGGCATTTCCATGGAATCGAAGATGAGTTGAAGAAAAATAAAATGAGATTGAGAATGCTTAAAGAGCTTATAAATAAAAAATTCACCGAATTTGAATGCCCTTCGAACAATGACTATGGCAACAATGACGACGATTGACGCACTTATAATGTCGATTACAAATGGCAATAGAACAGCTTTAATGATAATTTCTTTTTTTTTATAAAAATAAAATTGGTGAATATCAACCGACTCACACAGCAGATGCGGACGATTGCACCTGTTTACGCTTGTCAGAAATTCTGCAGATAATTGTTTCGATTAAATTAAATAATTTTCGATGTGAAAACATTACAGCCAGAACAAAAGAAACTATAGGCACATGAATAACGCACACATTATTGCTTGATATATTTTTTTCTGATCAATATAGGTTTATGTTACAATACAAGCTCATTATTTTTGTTTCGCAATTTATCGCGCGAAGGGAAAATTAACGCAACATTTAGCACACCGCGTTCAAGGTGCGCCACCATCAATTAATTTGTAAGGAATTTCACAACGCACATGAAACTTACATCAATTAACGCTATGCGAATTGAATATTTCAAAAATTGTAATTTAAGAAAGTTTACATTTTGAAAACACAAAAAATATACTACAACAACTCTGCAATATTTTTTCTTTTAATATTATCGCGTTTTATAATAAATAAATTATAAAAATTATTTTAAAAAATTCCGGGAACAAATTTATTTTATATATTTATAGAGGATATATGACTAATTTTTTTGAAATGAAAAAAAGGGATTTCAATTACATTTTTAGGTGGAGTTTTGTCTAAGTTTTCAATTTGACATGAAAAAGAAACCAACATTGGGTAATTTTACCTATTTTCTGAATTACTTTTAAATGTTTACTGTTGAATATAACTGCGATTGAGCAATTTTTCCTATTTATATTATTCAGACGAATTTTCATGGTTATGCCCTAGTGTGAGTGACATTTATTTTCAAAAGGGGTTCACCCTCAAGATTTTGTCCGAATTGTATTCCAAGAAATTGTGGCATTTTCTATATTTTTTTGGAAATTGTTGAATTTTGAAATCTTCGAAAAATTTATAACATAAAAAAAACCAAAGACACAATATATCTTGGTGTGTAATTCTGGGATGATAGCTCAGACCACAAAGGATGGTGTTATAAATAAACCCGTTTTACCCAATTAGGGCCCAACTCAATTTTAACAAAACACAATCGAAAACAATCGATTTAATTTTTAAAATGAATCCCATTCATTTTTTTCGCCATTCTTATTGGTAGTGAACAAAAGAAAAAATAAAAGAAATAAATTTTTGTCTATAATTTATTTTGACTAAATAAACAATACAAATTTGAATGCATTTTATTTAACGAAAAAAATGACGTCTTTCTTTGGGTGTCATTCAGTTGGTGTACTATCAGTGCCTTTGCTATTCTCTGCTTCTTTTTCCTTCTTGCGAGCTTCTTCCAGTGCAATTTCAAGATTCTTCTTTCGTTTTGTCAACGGAAGAGCATTATATCGAAGAAGGCCAGGATATTCGTTTCCTTTCACCGAGAACAAGTCCTTTCCGCTCAATTCACGCATTGCAATGTTACGGTTCAACATTTTTTCATAGAATCCAATTCCGCCTTCGATAACATCTGTTACAAAGAAAGCGTTCATTATTTTTTGAATTTTTGGCATTTTATGCTTAATATGTTAGAATAAATGTGCTTTTGCCACCACGGAAAATAATTTTACCGGTTTTATGTTTCAATTTAGTCTTTTTTAAAAACTTACCTGATCCCATTGATGTAAGTTTATCGTCGACCCGCAACATTTGTGACATTCGAATTGTGTCTGTAATGACCGAATAAAGACCGTATGTAAAAACGGCGAGAGCACCATAAATAAGTCCCCGCCCCTGCAAAGAAAAGATCCAAAATGTTTATTTAAAAGAAATATCTCAAAGAAAATTCAAATTTCTTCAAAAAAAAAGAAGATTAAATGAAAAAAAATATGTCTACAAAATTAAATGCCGTAAAATTTCGTTGAAAATTAAATGATGTTGTTGTAACTACAAAGAATATTTGTGTTGTTGTTTTATTTTCAATGGAATTTCAGAGCATTTTGACTCTCGTCCCTTCAATTGAATGTCAGCGGCTTTAAAAGTAAAAATGTCAGTACTTACAGCTCTTGGGATTAGGAATAGTTTATATTTTTGGTTGATGGCTTGAGCTGTTGTATACAGTCCGAAGCACAAGAAAAACGGTATGAACGCATTATGTACATGATTATAATTGCGTAATTCAAGTATTGATCGAATGATTCCAAACATTTTTTCCTTTTCCGTTAAAATCAGCGATTTTTCTAATAATTCACCACATTTGCTATCCCAATCAATTGATTCCGTTCTCAATTTCAAATTCATTTTATCGATGTCAAGTTCCGAATCGTACAAATAATTTACCGGTATTCCAATAAAACCGTGGTGTATTGAGTTCAATGAGCCTGAAATGTGGACAAAATTCTATGAGAAAACAAAGTTGCATCGCATAAATGGTTTTCTGCCTGGTATTCAATTTTCTTAATATGTACCGCATGTTTTAATGTCCAATCCAGAAACCATAAATGATTTTAAATGAGTGGCATGAACTGTTGTTAATTTCACCCGATCGGCTGCTTGATCAATTAACAGTTCTATCTCTTCTGGCACTTCGACTTTCAACCCATGTCTATAAAAGAATTTATTAATTTTTTATTAAAGAATGAACGATTTAAAACCGAACAATTTCCAGAAGATGAATACATTTATGTGTTACCGATAGAGTCGAATAAAATCCAGATAATAGTCGATAAAAAGTGTTTGATAAGAGTTGAGCATAAAAGGAATTCCAAGAGATACAGCGCCCATAAGTGTCCTCGACATTTTGCGTCCACCAACCGTTGCAAAGTAGTCAAACCATCGTCCGGTTCTTGTTTTTTTATTCTCACCATTGCGAAATTTTAACAAATTTTCGTTTGACATTTTTGATATTTTTTTTTATTTTTACATTAAAATTGAAATGAATGACAATATTTTACTAGCCGCCTATTCATAAGTGAATTTATTAGGTTAAGTAATTCAAATGTTTTTTCTTTGGTTTTCAGATGTCACTTTGTACTAAATGTAAAGAAATGGAGCAGCCAATATGCATGGAGACGCCATACAAAAAAAAATTCATTCACGACGCCAATGAAATTGAGCGATTTTCTCAAGAATTTTCAAACATATTACAACAAAATGCCAGAAATTTACGCCAAGAAAAAGTGCAGCCGCTCCACCGAATGAACCAACGAAATTGGCAAAGCTAAAAATTACATCTCGACGATTTCGCACTTTGGACGATACAACTTCCCAACGAAATGACACTTTTGGTGTAAAAAGAACCTCATTGGACCTACAGAAAAGAAAAACTTACCACACACATTTCTATATTGGAAATTCCAATTTGGAATGTAATTAAAACTCACCATTCTCGTATCAATCGACTTTGTTCAATATACGAATAATGAGCACAATTCAATGGGCACTTGCAATCACGTAACGTCCACATAGGCCATGATTTTTGATGCAAACACAAATATCCAGTGAGCTTACATTCGGGACCATCTGCGGAACAATTTTGATTAGCCCTTCTTTCACATTCTTTCGATCATATTTTCTGACATTTTTCAAAAAAATCAATTATACTTACCAACAAATGGATAGAAAAATGGTTTACAGTTGCATAATTCCAGTGCATTTTTTGCCCGACAATTCATTTCGCATAATTTTCCGCTCAATATCTACCGAGAAAAAAAAATGTGGCAAACTTTTTCAAATCTGAAACGAAATTCAAACGATTACCGGAACTTTGTCAAAAATTTCACTTCGAAATGCGCATTTTCGTTGCTGTAAATTCAATGATCTCAATGAATCGGATGCCCTAAAAAATCAATTAACCAATTAATTTAACGATAAAACACACTCTGAAAATTTAAATTTACAAAGTTTCGGTGACTTTATAGATGATGGTTATCTCATCAGCCGGCTTGAATTGCATAACATCCGAATCATAAACGGGCGGTTCCTCCGGCGAATGAATCTCAATTGTTGCCGAAACATTATAAAATTCAATACTCATAAAGCACTCATTTTTATACATGAAACATGTTAAAATTTCGCTCATTTCATCAACTGAATGCAATGGACTGCAAATAATAAAACGAAACCATATCAATTTCGAACTCAAAAACTCATTTCGATTTATTACTTTCGCATTAACACTTTGCTGATGGGTGAATTGATCACATGGCACATTCCACGTTCGCTTAAAATTTGCTCCGAATCAAGCACAATCGAGCTATCAAACGATTTTAAAGTATAATCCAATTTTGGATAGACTTGCTCAACAATTTCACTCAAATTCAGATCATGCAATCGATCATCATATTCATACTCGAATACGGTGAACAGCCGGTCCAGAGTCAGATTTGAAATCGTTTCAATAAATTGCGAGTAATATTCAAAGTCTTCATCGTTCGGTCCAATTTTCCAGGTACTATTTTTATTTTTGCAGAAAACATCCAAACATAAGCAATACGGAAGAATCTTAATAAATAATTCGAAAAATCGACTAAACCTCATAATGTATTCTTCAATTTTGGTTTGATTGAATTTTTTATTGAAGCAAAGTGTGAACGCTGGCATCGTTCCGTTCCAATGGCGATAATCACGTTCGAGAGATATCACTGTTGGATTGGCTTTGTATCGTGACCATTGATTAAAACACAGATAGAAGACACCAAAACCAAATAGAAATACGATAGACAACCAAAATATACTGAAAAAAATCAATTGGTTACAAAAGAAAATGTTCATCAAATTCGATATAGTTCAAAATACTTTTAAAAGCGCATTAATAAGTGGTAAACGTAATGCATTTAGACAAAATTAAATTAATTTTGGTCTGAATGTAAGGCGAACTGAAATTTCTTGGAATTTTTTTCAGATCTTTTCTTGTATCTTTGAAATTATTTTACATGCCACAGATTTCATCTTACGTTCTAGTAAAAACAATGTTATGCGCCTATTTACTATGTCGCCAGTTTTCTGTTGCGTTTGATAATGAAATCGAATGATTTCGAGGAAAATAGGAATGTTTCAAATTTTTTATTGAATCATCAACAAAATTAATTTTACAGTGTGAATTCCATATAAATCTCAAAATATACTCGATTGCATTATTTGAACGAAATTCAAATAAAAACATTTTGATCATTTTCTCAATTAATAACAATTTGAATGCACTTACCGTTCAAAAATGTGCCTATTGGGATCGGTTAAATGTTGAATTCCGTCAAAATTCAAGAATTTTAAAAATTTGCCAATCTTTTGAATGCATTGATCCACCGTGCCAATGAATCGAACGAGAATTGCACGCCGTTTTCTTGAACTTTTTGACACTTTTCGCCGTATTTTTCGTGAAACTCGTTGCATTGTTGCCGTTAGTGCTGACTATCGAAATTGAAATAAGGTATCATTGATAAATGAAGAAGACACAACAGTTTTAGGACATTCCCGATTCACAAACACCATTATCGATAAACGATGACCACCAATGGAAAATGACATCTAATGGATGTTAATGGATTTGCGTCGATGCATTTACTTTATCTTGGTGTGGAAATCGCAAATTAAAATCATTTCACTTGCTTAACAATGAAATCAATTTGTTGCTAACGATGAAAATGAGAAAAATCAATTTGAATTTAGTTTTATTTAGCCATTTGTCTTTGTTATGAAATTAATATATAGAAAATGAGTTGACCTCACATTACTGAAAAAAGATATCATTCCACTATCACCGCAAATGGATAATTTGTCTGAATGTTTTTCTTTTTCGATTGTCCATTATTTGGAGGTTTCAGGATTTTTTTTCATATGACTTAATGACACAAGCGTGTTTGTTAAGGAAAAACGTTCATTCGTGTAAAATATGTTTAGAATTCTTCGAAAACGCCAAAACTGATAAAGATAGTACTCTTAAACCTCTTCAAATGTGGAAAGTTGAATCATTTTTTTAAAGCAGCATCTTCGGCATCTACATTGTCGAAATTGATAGAATTACTGTAGTTGAAAATACTTCTTTTCAATCGAAATTACCATTCTGAGTATAAACACAGAAACAAATATTCGAGTACGCTTACTCGCACTTGCAGCGTTGGCTACCCCTCAAAATGAGTTACGCACTCTATTTTACTCTATTGTTTGTGTTAATTTCATCCAAGTGAACGCATCGTAGTGAAAGAAGAGATACAAGCGTAGTCATATGTACACGTGTATTTCTTCTTTCACTATGATGTGTTCACTTGGATGAAATTAACACCAAAAATAGAGTAAAATAGAGTGCATAACTCATTTTGAAGGGTAGACTCTCTGCTAACACCGCAAGTGCGAGTAACCGTACTCGAATATTTGTTTCTGTGCAGAAGTAGTAGAAATAGCACCCGTGCAGCAAGCGGCTCTTTATTCAAAAGCATTCAAACTTGCCATTTATTTTACTCACCACGTATACACCGTAACTTATACCAAATGTTATCCGTATTTCAGGGCACTATGGCGGCAATTTAGTGTTGATTACACTGAATTTCGTCGAAGCGCCAGTTGTTTGACACTCTGGGCATAATATTGGTATGTTAATGAAGAAATTAAGAAAGAAAACACATTGATATGTCAAAAAAATAATTTTCAAATTTATATAGAGGAGCAGTTCCTTTACTTGAACAATTAACTTGATGCATTTGCAAGTAATGATGAACGCATTGAAAACCTACAATTACGATGTTTCGTAAGTGATGGCGTATGGACCTTAGGAAGCGTATAATAGCTGAAATTTTTGACTTATTAGAGACATTAGTGCACCTTAAACCATATAACATCGCCCAAAAACATTTTATGATAAACTTTATCGTTGTCATACTAGAGATCATTGTATGTTTAAAAAATATTATAATTAATTATTTTCTAAGACTTCAACAAAAAACATATTATAAAAAATACTTCATGTTATATTTTTCAATAAAAATTTGAAGCGAACAAAAATTCATTGGCAAAACGTCACTGTATTTACACGTTTATTAGAAAAAACTAGAAAATATTAGAGAATAAATTAGTAGTAATAGGTAATAATAAAAACCGTGTCTTCCCCCTAGATATCATTGCCTTTATAGAAATGTATCATTGCACCTTTCATTGCATAATGAAAAAATGTATTGCTTTATATATTTCATTTATCTTTCATTACCTAAACAGTGGCACATAAAAAACTTTATATATAGGTAAGATCTGCTACTACCTAGCAAATCGAACGATTTAAAGCTTTCAAAGAGGGTAAACACAGAGCTGTCAAGTTGTTTTTTTAATTAATTTTTTGGTCATTCATTCATTCGTAGAATTATAAGATTGCGTTCGTTCGTTGTTCGTAAAAAAATATAAAAATAATATGAAATAAAATCATTATTGGTTTTAATTTTTGCATTTTAACTGAGTCTCATTGTAAGTTTTCATCAAAAAGTCACACGTCACGTACCTGTACACGCGTTTACTTTATTTTTAAAAGGAATTTCCACTTTGTATTGAGGTCGCTCAAATAACATAAACTTATACTTTTTTTTAAATTAATTCATTAGGGAAAAAAACAAGACTTGAGATAACTTTAAAACATGTAAGTCATCATGCTTGTGAAATGAAAAACAATTCTTTTAAGTAAACAGCGTTTCAAATAAAATATTCTAAGCGTAAATATTGTGTATAAATGTTTTCGCATCTGCTCTCATTTTCAGTATCATTTTAAATTCAAAAAAATTACTTTAAAAAAGCCAACAAATATAAACCATTCAAATGAATGCATTTTTCTTTGAATTCGCCAACTGTTTACGAATAGGTATGCACCAAAGGAGCCATGGCGAGTACCTATAAGGATATAGTTACTAAATTTCAACCAGCTAATTCTGAGATAGCAGATGCGTTCTCGTTGACTTCTGATTATTGTGATACAGCCAAACGAATTATAACTCGTTTGTATGATAAAACTCAGAATGATGAGATAAACACACTCTGCAATCAGTTGATATTGATTCCAGACAGTTCGAATGCCCTTCCAATGCACATTCAAACCATGTTCAATAACTGGAACGATATATCACAGGCAACCAAAAATTATATTTATGCAAATTCAGAAAAAATTACAACTGCTCATGATAAATTGAAAAATGGATTTGAAAACTGTCTTGAAATGGTGAATGCATACATCGGAGAGTACGAAGAAAAAGAAGATGATATTGTAAGAAAACTTAAAGCAGCCAAGAAGATTGTGACCAAGTATGTGAAACGCAGAAACGTATGGGCAAAGGCTTTGATGGGCAATACATCTGATCTCTAAATACAAAGATTGTAATCTTTGAAAATAATAAAATGTAATTGTTTGAAAGATTGAGTGTAATCTTACTACTTTGATACATTTAATGAATAAAAAGAGTGAAATAATAAATTATATTTTCTCTCAAATTGCCATCGTATAAATTATTATGATATTCTTTTCAA